TATTCCATCTGCCATATCCGCTATGGGAGGAGAACAAATCCGGCTTTTCTGCCTTACTGCTGGCATGTTTGCTAGACATCAGTGATTCTAGTTTTAAACCGTAATAGTAATACTAATGAGATCCTAAGTACTACATTCAGCAATATATTCTTCTAAATGCCGGAGGGCATACAAGATTAGAAGCTTATATATTGTGAAATTAGTCTTCCAGAAAAACAGCTTAGTCTTACAAATAACACGATACATTTTGCGAAATCCTTGCACTGGGGTTTTGACTGATCTAATTATGTCCGCAAAATAATGTTAATTTTCAGCAAGCTTTGTTTTGACTCTTGTTAGCATCTCATCACAGGCCTTTGTTCAAGATCATAATCCAACTAAAAGACTAATAAGCCCGTGGTTGTGAAACAAATTGAACATGACTCTTTGTAAACACTCTTTGGAGCTTTTATGCCAGGTCATTAAACAACATAACTGCAAAACTCTGCCCTTGGCTGTTTGCTTAAAATATTTTTCAGGAAGTTTCCAAATGGCAAAGATGATTTTCAACTGATGCTTTACATTTACAGTACATATAGGTCAGGACCCAAAAACATTACTTCAAGTGTTTGTTAGCACACATGCAATTCGAAATCTGAATGGCTCTAGATCACACACAGGCAAACTTGGGCCCTCCAGGTGTTTTGGACTCCAACTCCCACCATTCCTAACAGCCCCAGGCCCCTTGCTTTTCCCCCTCAGCCGCTTAAGTGGCTGAGGGGGAAAAGCAAGGGGCCTGAGGCTGTTAGGAATGGTGGGAGTTGGAGTCCAAAACACCTGGAGGGCCCAAGTTTGGCCATGCCTGCTCCAGATGAACTATAGCCCCCAGTCATGGTCATATTGGTGAAGAATGCTGGACTAAGATTTTTGGTCATCTGGTGCAAATAAATGGGTAGTTTTTTCCCCCTGTGAAAGAATGTCATCTATTCAGTCTGACCTTTTTTGTTTGTACAGCAAATCCCTATGCTATGCGGTGTAATGACGCCTGTAATAACTAACTACACACCCCAAAGGAGATGTAAACATGCAGGCACTTGCACTGACCCATATCAACAGATCCGTTTTGCCACAAAGAGGGCTTTTGTAAAAGTAATAAGCATTTCGATGACGGTTCTGAATCAAAGCTACGTAAAATACATTGTACTGCAGCCAGCATTTGTTGTTATTACGTGCCTTCAGAAAGAGGGCTTTTGTAAAAGTAATAAGCATTTTGATGACCATTGAGAATTAAAAGCAACCAGAATACATTGTACTGCAGCCAGCATTTGTTGTTATGACGTGTTTGTTGTTATTACGTTCCTTCGAGTCATTTCTGGCACTGGATTTTCTTGGCAGAATTTGTTCAGAGAGGGGTTTGTTCTGCCCTTATTTTGAGGCTGAGAAAGTGTGACTTGCCTAAGGTCAGCCAGTGCGTTTCAGTCACTAAATGATATTTGAGGCTTGGTCTCCAAATGGCTTGGTTTAACACTCAAAACTACTACACTGCAACTGGCACTCACAACCAACATAGTTCACATCAGGCCTGGGCAAACTTCAGCCCTCCAGGTGTTTTGGACTTCAACTCCCACAATTCCTAACAGCCTCGGACCTTTCCCTCCTCAGCCGCCTAAGCTGAGGAAAGGGCCTGAGGCTGTTAGGAATTGTGGGAGTTGAAGTCCAAAACACCTGGAGAGCTGAAGTTTGCCCAGGCCTGATCTACACTGTAGGTTTCATGCAGTTTGATACCATTTTAACTGCTATGGCTCAGTTCTATATGGAATCCTGGGAGCTGTAGTTTGGTGAGTCACCAATATTCTTTTGCAGAGAAAGCTAAAGTTGTTGAAAAACTACAACTCCGTTGACTCCACAGCATTGAGCCCTTGACAGTTAAAGTCATCTCAAACTACATTAATTCTGTAGTGTAGATACACCCTGACTGCGCAGGTACAAAACCGATAAAAGGAAGCCTTCAGTTCAAGCTGAGCTTGTTTTGTAGCATGGAATGGCTACTATTTAGAAAATACGAGGTTGAAGATTCTCTCAGGTGTACTAAAACAATTTGCATAGTTCCTTGGATCCATAAATAAGTGAGATTTGGGGGATCACTTGCTTTGGGGTACACAGCTATCTGTCATGTAGTTATTTGGACTTGGACATATTGGCCAGTGTCTAGGTCTCATGAGGATTGAAACCCAAACATCTGGAATGCACATGTTGTTTAAGCTGTTGATGCTCAATCCCATGAGCCATTCACATTCCTATTTCCTGTTCGTTTTTTGTTCTGTGATTTGAATCAGTTAAAATTTAAAGACTTGTTGTTTCTTATCTTTAATCCAGTTTATGAGATTATAAAATAATAAGGTGTGCCTAAATTGCTATTTGGATGGAATGGAATGAATTTGCCCTAAAATGGCTTAAGTATCATGTTGAAATACTAGAGTAGTTGAGCTTTAAACTCAAACTGGATTATTTTATCCATAGACCTTTTGCTTGATTTAAGGTTCTAAATGCACAGATTATCCAATATATATTATATCTAAAGTTGATAAGTGCAAATAGATAGGCATTGTTGCGTAATGGTTAGATGTTGGCTGGACTGTGAACACTGGATTCAAATAAGCCAATGATTTGAATCCAATTTGGTGACTTTACAACACTGGGTTGCTGTGAGTTTTCCTGGCTGTATGGCCATGTTCCAGAAGCATTATCTCCTGACGCTTTGCCTGCATCCTCAGAGGTTGTGAGGTCTGTTGGAAACTAGGAATATATATCTGTGGAATATCCAGAGTGGAAGAAAGAACTCTTGTCTACTTGGGGCAAGTGTGAATGTTGCAATTGGCCACCTTGATTAGCATTGAGTGGCTTTGTCAGTCTTTGAAGCTACAAGGCCATTCAGTGCTAATCAAGGTGGCCAATTGCAACATTCACACTTGCTTCAAGCAGCCAAGAGTTCTTTCTCCCACCCTGGACATTCCACAGATACCATAAATCCCACTTGCGTGGTTTTTAACAACCTCACAGTCTCTGAGGATGCCTGCTATAAATGTGGGCAAAATGTCAGGAGAGAATGCTTCTGGAACATGGCCATATAGCCAGAAGACACACAACAACCCAACTTGAAGGTTGTTTTTAGCCCTAAGTTTAGTACCGTACTTGGAACCATGAGTGAAACTTGGTGCAGGATCACATCTTGAGAAACCCATGACTTGTGTGTCCCCAGCTGGCTTTTGAGTTGCCTGCTTTAACATCACTGGGTGAGTGCCAGAGTTCAAATTAAAATCTCCCTCCGCAGAAGAGAAAGGTTAAAACTAGACTATATTATTGTAGGAAGGGAAAATGTGACACATCTATAACCACATGTAGTAGTCATTATTTTTATTGTGTTTTTCATCATAACAACCTGCTGCACTGGAAAAGTAGTTTTCAAAACAAATGTGGCAATCCCTGTGTGTGTTTACTGTGTAATTTAGGAATAATATTTTATTGAACTTTGTAAACCAAGATGATCTTTGTTTTATATTCACTTTAAACAGTCAAGCTTAATTTTGTTTGGAAGATTTCCAGCTAAATTACCCATCTTTTCATTCTGGGAAATGAACAAGAGGAAGAAAGAAAAAAAGAAATGAAAAAAGGAGGGAGGGAACGTGGAAGAGAAAAGCTTGATTAAACTCACAGCTTTCAATGAGAACGTAGAGCAATGTATTTCCTTGTGTCACATAGTTTATAGTTTATTATGTAGTTTATCTTCAGTGATTTTGAGGATGTTTTAAAGAAGTCTGTTGAAGAACCTAAGATCAATTAACATTCTTTTCATATTTCTTTTATTATAGCAGCAGTTCTCTTTATCTTTTGCAGAGGACAAGCAGAATAATAATAATAATAATAATAATAATAATAATAATAATAATAATACTTTATTTACATTCCACTCTATCTCCCCGAGGGGACTCAGGGCGGATTACAGAACACATATATGGCAAACATATAATGCCATTATACAATTAACAAGGATGGACAATACATAAACAGAGTTAAAGGTTTTCCCATCTTTTTCCATTTACGGCACCTGGAGGCTGTGCTCGACTCTGGCCACAGGGGGGTGCTGTCGCTCCATCTTCCATGCCAAGGAGCTTTGTCGTCCATAGACATCCTCCCGATCAAATCACTGGCACGTCCTTGTGGGTGCTTTTTATTACCTCCCCGCTTAATGGGGGTACCTATTTATCTCTTAACATTTCTGTTTTCCATCTCATAGGTGAGCAGAAGTGGGGGCTGACAGCAGGCACTCACCCCAACCCAGGCTTGCACAGCCAACCTTTTGATTGGGCGGATTTTCTGCAGCTTAGTGGTTTAACCCATTGTGCTACGTCCAACCCCACTTCAGTTTATGGGATCCTTTTTGGCTTAATACCATGAAGCAGTGAAGGGATAATTCTCGTCCTCCAGATGTTGAGCTAGAACCATCAGCATCCCATACCATTCACTAAGCTGATACCTATAGCCCATCATCTGGCAGCTTGCATTACCCATCTGTGGTATTAGCCTTGTCATACGACAAATGTAGAATCTGCTATCCTATGTAGAATGTAGAAAAAAATGTAGAATTACCTGCTATCAGTAATTCCCAAAATATAGGAAATTCAGGCCAAACTTTAATTTAACAATTTGTTTAGTTCTTAGAATCCAAAACCCACAACTTCTGCATTCAAGATTGTTCTTTTCTGACAAGTTAGAGACAATGTTGCCTCTTTCACAGTTTCTCTGCTTCTTGCTGGAGGGTCAGGAAATCTCTCTTTTACTCCTCTCCTCAATAGATAGATAGGGCCCAGCTGGTGCAGCATTTAAGGGAGAATGGTTCTAGGTTAATTTTCTTTTTGCAGAATTTTTTACTTTCAAAGCTTCCTAACACTGAATGCCTGATTTTTGATTGATTGTTTTATTTACAATCAGCATCTAATAAGCAGTTTGCATCTCTTGAACAGGTACGTGGAACTTAACACCCATTACGACTATAAAAACTACAGAGAGGTTATATTGGGCCGGCCATTGGTATTATTTGTCAATGTGAAAACAAAATACAGTTCTTCAAAAGGTATGTATGAGTAAGCCTGTCCTTGAAATCTGTACATAGGATCTTTGTTATATTTCCTGGTTGATGGATACTGAAAAAAAGGTGTTTTTTTTCCGTGTCAGAAGCTACTTGAGAAATTGCAAGTCACTTCTGGTGTGAGAGAATTGGCTGTCTGTAAGGATGTTGCCCAGGGGACACCCGGATGGCTTCTCTCATGTTCCAGCAGACAAACATCTAGTTTAGGGATGGGCAAACCTCTACTGTTAGGAATTGTGGGAGTTGAAGTCTAAAACACCTGGAGGGTCGAAGTTTGCCTATCCCTGATCTAGGTATTCTCCTGTAGCTTGACCCACAGCAACAGTTGTCCAAAATAAGATCTGGGGTCTCTCCAGGGTCCCTCCATATGATGTTACTGCCTAGTTCAGGATTGAGAGACATATGAAAATGTGGCTCTTCAGGGTCTGATGAGAAATATTTGCAGCCTCCAAGTTTTGGGCCACTAATGCTGTAGTGAGAACAGAAATGGACATGGGTCCTCTAAATCAGAGGTCCCCAAACCAAAGCCCACAGGCTGGATGTGGCCCTTGGAGGTCACATCCAGCTAAACTTTAGGCTTAAGGTTGCCCTATGTATGATATGACTTGAAGGCACACAACAATCTTAAGTTGACTATCTCACCAGCGAAAAGCAGGCCAACAATTTTCATTGAAATATTGGTAAGTTTATGTTTTATGGAAGTTTTTTGCATTTGTTTGTATTTTTCAAAAAGTATAGTCCAGCCTCCCAACAGTTTGGGGAACCATAAACCGGCCTTCTGTTTAAAAGGTTTGAGGACACCTGCTCTAAATAGTCTGTAACAGGCATGGACAAACAGGTGTTTTGGACCTGGTAGGCTGTTAGGAATTGTGGGAGTTGAAGTCCAAAACATCTGGAAGGCTGAAGTTTGCCCATTCCTGGTCTATAAGCAGAGTTCTTCTGATATGTCAATTCAACCTCTTGAGTTTTTGTGTATTTTTGTTTCGGTTAGCACACATTATACAGTACAGATGGCTCTCTGTATCCTCAGATTCTGTACCCCATGCCCTCCAAAATACAAGGAACACCATTTTACTACATTACTATACATAATAGGACTTGAACATCCATGGATTTTGACATTCACAAGGGGTCCTAGAACCTAATCCCAGTGTATACCAAGGGCCTACTGTAATGTCTTTAAAATTTATCAGTACTAATTACACCAGTTATGGTTCTAATCTAATGTAGTATATGAAAGCTATTTCACATTTTCTGAAGTGAATGAGCAAGCTATGTATACCTGTGTTATAATGTGTAGTAACGTGTAGTAACGTGAAAAGGTAAGACACTTGTGTTTTGACTCTGTATGTGCTGGTGAGAACCTTCCATGCAAAGAAATTCCAAACTTTAAGTAAGTGAATAATATCTGTCAAAATTACATAATGCAAAGTACCCCATAGGAGGGGATGAATTCATAGCACTACTGTGTATGTTGGCTCGAGAAGAGCATCTGAAATTAGATGCCATTGTCCAAATTCATTAAAAATAATGATGTCCAATATTCTCATTAGAAAAGACCTACGCCTTGCTTGTGAACGTCCGGCATCCAAAGATGAGAAGACAGATTGAAAATGGAATGAACAACATCATATCATCTGTGATTGGAGAAAGCTATAAACTTCAGGTGAGGCAGTCATTTAAATTCTTTGAAAATCCACTTTGTTGTTGTTGTTGTTGTTGTTGTTATTGCTCAGTGTTTTAATAACTGAAGAAATTAAAATGCTGCAATTTAAAAAAAAAACATAAATGGATTGGTAAAGTGTGTAGAACTGAAAATTTACAAACTAGTTAAAACCTGGAATCACTGACTTCCCAGAAAACTACACTTTCCAGGAATCTCTAGGTCCTCTTCCAGCAGATGCTGACTATAAGAACACACTGGAGGAGTAGAGATTCTTAGAAATCTCTAGACCTCCAGTGTGATAGAGTTGGAAGAGACCTCGTGGGCCATCTAGGGCCATCCAGTCCAACCCCCTGCTAAGAAGCAGGAATATCGCATTCAAAGCACCCCCAGCAGATGGCCATCCAGCCTCTGTTCAAAAGCCTCCAAAGGAGCCGCCACCACACTCCGGGGCAGAGAGTTCTACTGCTGAACAGCTCTCACAGTTAGGAAGGTCTTCCTAACGTTTAGGTGGAATCTCCTTTCCTGCAGTTTGAAGCCATAGTTCCGCATCCTTGTCTCCAGGGCAGTAGAAAACAGCTTGATCCTTCCTCCCTGACTTCCCCTCACATGTGTTATACATGGCTATCCTGTCTCCTCTCAGCCTTCTCTTTTGCAGGCTAAACATGCCCAGCTCTCTAGGTCTTCCAGCATGATTTTAGGGTCAACTTCATTTGGAAGCTGACCATAGAGCAGCACTGGAGGATCAAGATTCTCAGATATGTTTTAATCAAATTCACAAATAAATCCAAAAGTCAACACTGCAAATGTGGACAGCTACCTGTATTATGAAAACAAGTAACATGATGAGTAAGATAGTAATATCCCTGAAGGCAAATATGCTGATTCTGATCTGGATCCAGCATTAGTAGCATAAAGGGTAGTAAGGCAGAACAATCTGTTGTTGCTTTGGGATGAGGATAAAACACTGCTTCAGAAATGACATTTAGCTAAATCTCAGGTTGTTTATGGGTATTTCTGGAGGCAGAGCATATTTTGTCACATTTTTGTAAGCATATTTGATGGACTCCAAATGTGCTGTCAAGTCCTTCTGAGAAGCTTCTTTAAACCGATTAATTCTGCAAAATATAATGCAGGCAAGTGACTAATTTATTGGCCTTTTTCAGGATTACTTTAACATTTTGTAACTTGCTAGACAAATCTACCATTAGTACGATTTTAGCTCACATGTCACAGAGACCGATGTGAAAGAGTAATGTATTAAAACGAGCGGTTTTCTCCATAACACATAGCCAAACAATAGTAGCATTACAAAAACTCTATTTAATTTAATAGCTGGAAACATGAGAAATATTCCTTTTGGTAGCCTTAACATATATGTATTATTTTTCTTTGTAGTTTGACTTCCGGGATGTTGTGAAGAAGTTTTTTCCTTCCGGAGCCCATCTTGTCAATGAAGAAAGCTTGAGCTTTTCTTATGAATTCAAATCTGATGCCTTGTTTGATTTTTTTTATTGGTTTGGGATCAGCAAAAAGACTGTTTCAGTGAATGGGAAAGTTCTTAACTTGTCCAGTACTAATCCAGAGAAGAAAGACATTATAATGAAGTTTCTGGATAAAATGAGCGAACCAAACCTACGGTCAAACAGCTTTTCAGACAGAAAGTTCAGCATTGTTTCCAGAAGTAAGTTGGCAACTTATTAAGTATGACTTTATTTTCTGAAACTAGAATATTGTTCGAGCTCAGCAAACATGTTTAAACGTTTCCTTGTGATCTTTTGTTTTCATAGAAGTGCTAACAAGTGGGATACTGGGAAACTGCTAAATCATATTTTGCCAGAGATAAAAAGATTACTTCTTTTTTGTGCTTGTCTTGATTTTTGTGTATTCAAAAGTAACTTAAAACTCCCCTTTATATTTAATCACTTACCCCAAAAGTTTAGTATTAGCCGTAATACCGTTAGTATCATGGCTTACTATATGCTCCCCAAAGTCAATGTTAAGGTAAAGGCTCTCCCTGATGTTAAGTCTAGTTGTATCTGACTCTGGGGAGGTGGTGCTCATCTCAATTTCTAAGCCGAAAAGCCAGTGTTGTCTCAGACATCTCCTAGGTCATGTGGCCAGCATGACTATAAGGAGTGCCTTTACCTTCCCACAGAATCTACTCACATTCGCATGTTTTTGAACTGCTAGGTTGGTGGAAGTTGGGCAGGAGCTAACTCTGCTCCCCAGATTCAAACCGCCAACCTTTCAGTCAGCAAGTTCAGCAGCTCAGCAGTTTAACCCGCTGCATTACCAGGGAGCCCAAAGGCAATATTAGGCTTATGTTTTGTGTTTGCCATTTATACCACTTCATATGTCCTCTTAAACTCCTTAAGGATAGCACCTTTTCCTCTTTTTCACATTTTCACGAAGCTACTTTGTCATCTCATACTTTGACCCTATTGTTCTGCCTCATCACTAGTTCAGTTCCCATAGATCTGTTCATTTGAGAAGAGTCTGTTTTGCATTATACAGTCAGCTCATCATTTTCACTGGAGTTAAGGGTACAGAACCCCCATTAAAGTGAAAAAGCGCATTTTTTTAACCTGAAAAAACACCTCTTTAGGGATTTCTAGGTCTTGCAGCACAACTCTATGCCCAACTTCCACCAGAAGCTGATGATACAATAACATTGGAGAACCTGGAAATTCTTATAGAGGTGTTCTCTCTAGAAATCTCTAGGTCCTCCAGCATGACTGAAGTTGACAATAAAGCAGGCATGGGCAAACTTCGGCCCTCTGGGTGTTTTGGATTTCAACTCCCACAATTCCTAACAGCCTTCCGGCTGTTAGGAATTGTGTGAGTTGAATTCCAAAACACCCAGAGGGCCGAAGTTTGCCTATGCCTGCGATAGAGTCACACCGGAGGACCTTGAGATTCTAAAACAGACCAGTTTAAATCAAATATGCAAAAGTCAAAAACACAAATGTGGAGGGATGACTGGCTCTTACCTTGTATTTGAAGAAAAGCTGTTTGGAAATGTATTTTAAAGACTCCTATGTAACCACCAAATCATATTTTTAATAAAAGCTGTGGTTTTTAGGAATTAACAAATCTTTACAGGATATATTTCATATTGTTTTGGGCTTTTTAGTCAGAGATCAGATGCCCAATTGTCTCGTTTTCCTTATATATATATATCGTAACATTGCTTTTTGTGCTCTCTTGCAGCTTCAGTGGATGACGTGTTTAATGGGAACCTGACACCGCAACCAGCTTGGACAGAATCCCCTTTAACAGTTTGGACACTATCAGGAGTTAAAAAATCAGAGGACTAACCACATGCTGTGGTTGAATTTTCATACATTGGAAGTGGATAGGTCAGAAAATGAGAGAATGTATCACAGAATAACCTTTACTGCAGAATGCAATTAATTTCTGAAAGAAGGAGTGTGTTCTGTATCCTTCCTCAAATTGCAGGATGTTCTGGCGTTCCAGTTGGTTTCTGTGATTAAAGAAGAGCACCTTCTGATTTTTGCAATGCCACCTGCAGAGTTGACTCTTTGCACAGCGCATTAGGAGTTGCTTGTTTGGAGCATAGATATTTCATGGTATTGCTGTTAAACACTTAAGCATATAGCCAAACAGAAGGATTAAAAATCTAGATTAGTTATTTTAAATAACTCCCACACGTTAAAAACTGAATAGTACCATGACTAGCAATCTGTTACATAATTATTCTTGTGCTTATCACCTTTCAATTGAAAGGCTAAAAAGATTAAAAATGCTTCTCATGTTCAACGAGTAGATGAAGTAGTATTACAAACTAAAGTACAGGATTTTTTAATGGTGGATGATGGCCTTGAAGAACTAATATATGCACTACTTGACCTGAAGTGCATTTTTGTATTATGCAGACAATTAATACTCCATTTTTAGCTTTGCTTTGGCTTAGAAAGATTTCACTGTGTGGCTGAAGATAAAACTGAAACACTTGTCTACACTTCAGAAAGCTTTGAGGGTATAGTCTCTTCCTATATCTCCCCAAACCATAATCATTCGTTCTTCCTGTAGGTCCCCCTACCCTATCTGCATCTTAAATTCTTCACTTGTTTATCCTGAAGCACTGTAAGATTTACTGAAAGCAGTTGGAAGAATTTAATGTTGTGTTTTAATACAATTTTGTTTTGATTCTGGTGCCACTTAAGCCTTTGTATGTCACATCTTAAAAAATGTTTACCCAGCACTTCAGTTTATATGAATGTTATATGAACACAGAGATAGGAAAGTTTGTAAAGCAATGATGTAAGCGTAATATGGGTTACTTAAAAACATTAATAAACACTTAACAAACTGAGTTATAACAGCATACACTCTGCATTATTGCAGAATTATAGTGTGCATTGCCTCTGTTGCTGATGCAATGAAGTCATGGGATTATATTTCACAACTTCCATCTAGTCTTTAATTAGGGGCATGGGCTTTTTAGAGCTGATTACAGCATAGATTCTTTTCAATATATTCACAAATTGCAGGAAATGGAACTCAATTCAACCGTTGTTCTGAGCTTCTTGCAAGGGAGATTTACAAGGAAGGTCATTTCATATGGAATGCTTTTTCAGTCAAAATAGACATACATTCCTTACTTTACTGTACTGCTACATAATACTGTATAATGCAGAGCAGAAAAATCCATACCAATCATATATGGAATTTAAAAAACAATATTACATTTCCCATAAATAGCATGGGACTAGAGTACTCTTATCATTTTCCTAAGTGTCCTTCTTTCTAAGTGTCCTTTTCCTATGAGAGAATGTTTTATTTATTTCTTTGGATGAGGCATGCTTTGTGTGGACACTTCAACTCTTCCTCCAAAAACAAAATGGGCAACCTGCATGAGGGCTGTAAACTGAAAAAAAAAATGTTCTCCTCAGACACTAAAAGAACATAACTCAGAGGGCCTTTTTTTCCGTGACAGACTGAATTGGCCGTCTGCAAGGATATTGTCCAGGGATGCCCGGATGTTTTGATGTTTTACCATCCTTGTAGGATGGCTTATATTGTGTCCCCGCATGGGGAGCTGGAGCTGAAAGAGGGAGCTCATCCACACTCTCCCCGGATTCGAACCATGGTCTGTCAATCTTCAGTCCTGCCAGCACAAGGGTTTAACCCATTGCGCAACTGGGGGCTCCACTCAGAGGACTAAAAATGTATACATCTAGGCATTCCATATTAAAACAAGCTGTTGGAGAGATGTATTTGCATTTCTAATTTTCAATCTGTCTATTGCAAATAGTTTATCTTTTCTGTACGCTTTTATATTTGCACATCATTTTATATCATTAGTGTTCAATATGGAAATGCTGCCCTTAAATGTAAAATCATTGGAAGAGACCACATGGGTCATCTAGTCCAACCCCCTGCCATGCAGGAAAAGCACAATCAAAGTATTAAAACTGTGCTATATTGGACCTTTTTTGGCAAAGCAGCACTTTGATGTTGCTTGGAGAAAAGAGTTCTGCATATCTAGAAGGAACAAGCCTTGTGAGATTTATCCCCCTCAGGCTTTAGGCATGACTAGACATGTTTTAAATACTAGTCAACCTCTTTGTATATATGATTCTGTTCAGTGCCTCTGTATGTCATCATTGCACAATAAAGGGCTATTTTGAATAGATGTCTCAATTTTTCCATCCCAGAAATTTGTACATTCCACATAATAGATATGACGCAAGGTTAATCTAATAACTGAATAAAGTCTTAGAAGAACAGATAATGAGGTTTGGGATGGTACTTTTCATATTGCAAAAGGACTTCCAGCAAATCAGAAGATTTTTTTTTTTTACAAAACCAAAACTACTATTCCCAAATTAGAGTTTTGAAATCTACATTTATGGTAACTTGGCTATAATATTCATATCTATCTATCTATCTATCTATCTATCTATCTATCTATCTATCTATCTATCTATCTATCTATCTATCTTAAAATATAAGTAAAGGTAAAACTTTTCCCCTGACATTAAGTCCAGTCGGGTCCAACTCTGGGTGTTGGTGCTCATCTCCATTTCTAAGCCGAAGAGCCAGCGTTGTCTGTAGGCATCTCCAAGGCCATGTGGCTAGCATGACTGCATGGAGCGCCGTTACCTTCCCACTGGAGCGGTACCTATTGATCTACTCACATTTTCATGTTTTTGAACTGCTAAGTTGGCAGAAGCTGGGGCTTAACAGTGGGAGTTCCTAAATATATATTTCACCGTATGTTGAAAAAAGTGGCACACAACAAAATAAATTAAAAATGTAAAACATTCAAAACCTATTTTGCAGTCTATATAATATATGTATATCAAATATCTAACACATTAAGGCATGTACATTATTGGCAAAATCAGGTTCATACAAATCAAGAGTACATTCCACAACAAAAACTCTTTCTCAATGCTCCCACAATGTATTGCCTCCTAATGGTGGGACACAAAGAAAAGCTCTTCCCACAGACCTCCAACCTCGTGCAAAGATAAACAAGAAGTGCTTTTTCGAGTATCAATAGCTCAAACTGTTTAGAGCATGTCATGTTCAGCACCTTACATTTAGGCTGGAAGTGTAGAGGAGTCAGTGTAATTAATTAAAAACTAATGTTATATGGCAACCAATGACTGGAAGGCCATATGATGTTCATATCTGATTTAAGGGGGTGACTGTGCAAGTTCATGCTGTGCTGCTTAGACTTCTCTCCATGGATACTGAGAAAAATCAAGCGTACTGAGGCTTGTGTAGGACCTGCAAACAATCCCTATAGCTGTGGGATAGAACACAAGCAGTCTTAAGGTCACTGTACCATAATGTTCAGGTTAGCTATGAAGGGGGAAGGAAGACTCATGGTGGAACTGGTTGGCCACCAAACTTCTCTCCATAGCCAATGAGCCTACATCACTCAAATGAGGACAGGTATGTCACACACAACACAATATCTAAAAATCCAAGCAAGCCAAAGGAAAGCTCCCACCTCCGGCTGACTAGCATTTCTTCTGTTACCAGGAAAAAAAAGGAGAGGATTAAAAGTGAATGAAAAAGGATACAAGGGGATAAATTACATGCTGCCATCTTTGTTCTGTTGAGAGGAAACCTAATACTTCAGGAGAGACATTTTTATGACAAATGATGGAGATGCTTTCTTTAGAACAAGGGAGTTCATGCAGCTATAGTTTTCAAATTGTACTTTGGCAAAATGTAAGATCCCATCCAACTCTCCCAATTTTACAAGGACAGTTCCAATTACTCCTCTGTTGCCACATTTGTTCAGCTGCTTGTAAAATGTTCATTTCTCCCTCCTACCATATTCCTCTTTTGTCCTAAGTTTGCTTCTATTGCTGCAGGGGGACAGAATAGGGAGAGGCAGAATCTTATCCTTCCCAATAGGCTCAGAAAAAAGCAAATTGCAGCTGCCTTTTCTATTGTATGTGTTTTTCCTCATTAATAACTTCTGCCGTTGTGACCACACCTTCATGTCACTTGGTCACAAGTGTCCTGAATTTTTGAGAAGTATGTGCTTTTCAAAAATTTTCAGCAGGATTTCTGATTGTTGCATAATGCTTCACTGTTCAAATACCAAGTGACCATGACATGAAATACTAAATTTAACTAACAGACCCAGTTATGTCTGCATGATGTGAAATATACAGCTTGCATCAATCAGGTTTGGCCAAAAAAAAACCAAATGCTAACCATGACAAGCTCTCTTAATGCCATCTCAAGACAAATGTATTACTGATTAAATCCATTATGTAACTAAGTAGGGTGTACTTAAGATGGCAATCTGCCCTAAAAAAACATGTTTTTACCACAGTGCAATGAAATAATGCAATAGTGACATGAATAATTTCTTCAAAGAGATTACTCAGATATTACTCATGCTTTCTAACCAAGTGCCCAGAAATAATCCATCCCATGATTATATTCCATTACTCTAACTGGAACCATAACTCTAATGTCAACACCTCAGTGATTTGTATTTTATAACATGCTTTCTAGAGGAGATAATGTCAAGATACTACAGAGTCGCTAGCCATACAAGAATCTCAGGGACTCTCTAGTCAACAACAAATTTGTATTAGTGATGAAAGTTGGAATTTGTAGACAAGATGCCTATATTAGAAATCCTTTTAATCACTCTCAAAATCAAGGCTCTCAAATACCAAATGAGCTGTCTATGCTGTTAGGTGCATAACCTCCCACATTTCAGAGACGAAAACCAGGACACATGTAGCCTAGCAACATTAGAACAAGGAAAAGACAGCAAAAAGTTATTAATGAGGAAAAACAAGACAAGATTTATGAAGCTGTAGCAGTTTGTTTCTGCCTGAATCTACAGGGAAATGCAAGATTCATCTCCTATTCACCACTCATTACTGGGTGAGTACAAACTACTTTTACGCTTCAAACCCAGTTTGCAGCAATGAAAGCGATCTGAGGAGAAAAGGGGAAGGCAGAAAGAAAAGAACTGGGATGCTTTTTAGAGCAGCTGAAAAATTTGGATGAATTAATGGAACTGTCCTTATCAAATGGGATTGTATATAGATCAGGCATGTGCAAACTTCGGCCCTCCAGGTGTTTTGGACTTCAACTCCCACAGGCGGTAGGAATTGTGGGAGTTGAAGTCCAAAACACCAGGAGGGCAAAAGTTTGCCCATGTCTGATATAGATGCTACAGTAGAAGTAGGAGACATGGCCCTCCAGATTTTTTAACTACAAGTCCCTGCTTGCTAGCTACACGCATGTTAGCCGAGATGTGCTAACTGAATTGCTACTATTCCCACAATTGCTTTAAAAGTGTTTCTCGACCTTCCTAATATCGTGATCCCTCAACAAAGTTCCTCATGTTGTGGTGACCCCCAACCATAAAATTATTTTCATTGCTACTTCATAATTGTAATTTTGCTACTATGCTGCATAGGAATGTAAATATTGGATATGCAGAATGTATTTTAATTCACTGGAAAAAATTTGTCACAAATACAATAAACCCAAATTTGAATACTGGTGTGGTTGGGGGAGGTTGATTTTGTCATTTTGGAGTTGTAGTTGCTGGGACTTATAGTTCACCTACAATCAAAGAGCATTCTGAACTCCACCAACAATGGAATTGAACCAAACATGGCACACAGAACTTCCATGACCAACAGAAAATACTGGAAGGGTTTGGTGGGTATTGACCTTGAGTTTTGGAGTTGTAGTTCACCTATATCCAGAGAGCACTCTGGACTCAAACAATGATGGATCTGGACCAAACTTGGCATGGATTGGATACACAATATGCCAAATGTGAACACTGGTGGAGTTTGGGGAAAATAGACCTTTATATTTGGGAGTTGCAGTTGTTGGGATATATAGTTCACCTACAATTAAAGAGCATTCTGAACCCCACCGACAATAGAACTAGAACAAATTTCACACACAGAACCCCCATGATCAACAGAAAATACTGCGATTTCTGGTGGTCTTTGGCGACCCCTCTGACACCTCATCACAACCCCCCAGGTTTTAAAACACTGCTTTAAAAGGGGATAATTGTTTTTAGGCTTCCCTGCGAAAGCATTCCTCATCACGGTCTTATTTAAATGTGTTATTAAATCCATTTATTTTTTTAATGGCAACTTTTCATACTCCAGAAACTTAATAACACCAACAAAAAATAATCCAACAAAAACTGCAATAGACAAAAGTGTTCATACTTTTATCTTCTTAATAAGAAGAGCTGCACTACAATTTCTTCCAAACATGCAACAATGAAAAGAATAAGAGTACAAGGGGGACTCAGCGCGGCCTCACATGAGCATCAGAGGATGCTAACAGCATAAATACCATAAAAATTACAACTTACAATAAAATCATTTTAAAACATTGTACATCATCAGTAAAATTTAACAATAAATTAATAAAGTGCCAGTAATACCAAGCCGAGCTGGGAGAATCCATGTCGCAAAATCCAAATTCCCCTTTCCTATTGCTGCTGACCTCTAATCAAACGTCTGGCCCCAGAGCCAGGTCTTCAGTTGTCTTCTAAAGGACAGGAGGGTGGTGGCCAAACTGATGTCCTTAGGGGGAGAGTTCCACAGATGAGGGGCCACTGCCGAGAAGGCCCTGTCTCTCGTCCCCACTAACCGCGTTTGTGAGAGTGGTGGGATCGAGAGCAGGGCCTCTCCTGATTATTTATTTATTTATTGTGTCATCAGCAACCATACCATTGTATTACATTTCTAACAGAACAAAACAAACAAACAGATTTAAAAAAACACAGATTTTGCAAACTTGATAGTCGATTAAATGTCCTTTGACCAGTATCTGGCCACTTGGAGTGCCTGTGGTGTTGCCGCAAGAAGGTCCTCCATTGTGCATATGGCAGGGCTCAGGTTGCATTGCAGCAGGTGGTCAGTGGTTTGCTCTTCTCCACACTTTGCTCTTCTCCACACTCCACAGTGGTTTGCTCTTCTCCCATGGGGCTACAAAGTTGGATTCAACTTTGTAGCCCCATTTCTTAAGATTGGCTCTGCACCTCGTGGCGCCAAGAGCACAATCTGTTCAGCGCCTTCCAAGTCACCCAGTCTTCTGTGTGCCCAGTGGGGAGTCTCTCATCTGGTATCACCCACGGATTGAGGTGCTGGGTTTGGGCCTGCCACTTTTGGACTCTCGCTTGCTGAGGTGTTCTCCTGATGATTTTATTTATTTATTTATTTACTTTGCTTATATACCGCAGTTCTCAGCCCTGGGGTGACTCACTGTGGTGTACAACATAGAAAAAGACAGGGTGCAAAATACGAGACTCAGTATAAAATAATCCACAATTCATCATTATCAAAAAACATCCTCATCAAAAACATCAAAAACATCATCATGATACGTTAGGACAGGTAATTGTGAACATTAGGAATTGTGAACATTAGGAAGAACTTCCTGTCTGTGAGAGCTGATGTCCTTCAACAGTGGAACTCACTGTGTGGTGGAGGCTCCTTCTTTGGAAGCTTTTAAACAGAGGCTGGATGGCCATCTGTCAGGGGTACTCTGAATGCAATATTCCTGCTTCTTGGCAGGGGGTTGGACTGGATGGCCCATGAGGTCTCTTCCAACTCTGATTCTATGTGAGAGTTGAAGTCCAAAATACCTGGAGAGTGGGCTGAAGTTGGCCCATGCCTGGCCTAATGCATTATTATTATTATTATTATTATTATTATTATTATTATTATTATTATTTTCCCCAGGCCATTCCAGGGGGTCCCCCACAGCCTTTCTCCTACTGGGCAGGCTTAGCTGGCCTTGTGCTGACAGTGCCACCTTGGCAACACAGCCATAGGCCTCTCTGGCTCCTCCCTCAGTCACAATACGAGCAGGCCCACTACCAGGGCAACCCAGAGGCCAGGTGAGGCCTGCGCGCAGGCGCAGTAGCGGCCCTCACTCCCCAGCAGCTCGGGTTGCTCCCCTGAACTGCCAACACCACTAAAGCAGAGGGCGCAGTCGTCATGGAGCCCCCCGAGAAAGACGAAGGACCGCTCCTGCCCCCCATCCACGGAGCTGCGCCTGCGCCGCCGCCGCCTCCCGCCTCAGCTCCTCTCCGCAGACCCAAGTCGGCTCGAACAGCGCCCCCTGCTGGTGAGAACGGCCTCGAGAACGCGCTGTGGTGCGCATGCGCGGGAGGGAGGGAAGGGGGGAGGGAAGCACGCATGCGCCTTGGCCTTATTTAGCCGCAGGAGCAAGGAACAAACCATTCATAGCTGCGGGGTGTGTTTCTACTATCACAGAATCATAGTAGAGTTGGAAGACTCCACATCTACTCCAATTCCCTGCCATGCAGAAAAAGCACAGTGGTTTCCAAACTTTGGTCTTCCATATCTTTTCATTTCAGCTCTTGCCTTTTTTTTTTGGCTAATCTTCATGGGGGACTTGAACTGGATGGCCAAAGTTTGCCCATGCAATTGATGCAATTTGACCCCCCCCCCTTTAACTACCAGGGCTGAGTGCTATGGAATCGTGGAAACTGTAGTTTTGCAAGGTCCTGAGCCTTATCTGTCATTGCAGGTGCCTCACAAAACTGCAAATCCCAGGGTCCCATAGAATTGGACCATGGCGGTTAAGAGTGTTAAACTGTGTTAATTTTGCACTCTAGATGCACCCTGAGAAATATCTATAACATGGAACTCTCTGCCCCGAAGTGTGGTGGAGGCTCCTTCTTTGGAAGCTTTTAAACAGAGGCTGGATGGCCATCTGTCGGGGGTGATTTGAATGCAATATTCCTGCTTGGCAGGGGGTTGGACTGGATGGCCCATGAGGTCTCTTCCAATTCTATGATTCTATGTTGCAATCAAATATACAAATAGAAGTGCTCTAAAAAATTCAGAAATCCAAAACCATTGTGCTTCCAAGCATTTCAGTTAAGGGATTATCAATGGTTCACGATACCTGTCTTTATTTGGTTATACTTTGCTAAGACAAGGTATAAAAGAGGTAGCTGGGTTGGAAGGAACTGTTGATTACACAAATCCAGAGCACTGGTGTGCATTAAGGGCTTCATGTTTGCTTTTGTGGGAGTTGTTTAGTTTGAAGCTAGCTCCAAACTGCATTAAATTATCAGTGTAGATGGGGCCTTAATCATAGAATTATCAAAAAGAAGAAGGATCTTGTGTCAGGCTAACCCCTTACCTGACAAAACCCAAATCAGAGCTTCTATCCATGTCCAAAATCTGGATCTGGGGTTTTACTCATATCCAAAAAAACAAAAGAGTTGCTTCTTATGTACCTGTTGCAACATTAATGGGGACGATGCAGCTCTCTAGATGTGTGAACTGTTAGCATTCCTCACCATTGGAGGTGCCATCTGGGGCTGGTGGGACTTGTAGTTCTGCATGAAGTTGAAGACCCCCTCCATGTTACAGGATAAAAATAATTGCAAATGCCTTAGCACAAATTAGATACTAGGACTTATATTTTATCCACTTGTATGTTTGCCCTTTAAACAAATATATTGCTAAAAGAAATCCATGCATTAAATACTAAAAGGGTTTTCTTAAAAACTACCGTACGTACAAACCCAACATTGCCCAAGTGTTGAAGGGGCCTTGTCCCCTGACTTCTTTCTTTTTTTCCTCTTCCTTTCCTTTCCTTTTCTTCCATCCCCTTATTCCTTTCCCCTTTATTTTCCTTCCTTTCTTTTCTTTATTTTTCTTTCTCCTCCTTTCCTTTCTTTCTTTTTTTCGTTCCTTCCGCCCTACCGTCCTGCCTCCTTCCCTCCCTCCCTTCCCCTCTCCCTTCACCTCATACACATGTCAATTTTCTTTCCCAGTGACATCACAGAGGGCCATTTCATATAGCAGCAGCCTTTGTGGAATAAACAGACACACACACTTTTGTTTTTTATATAAATAGATAGATGGATTGATTAATTAATTATATAATGAGAGATGTGTGTGTATCTTCTATATAACTAAAAATGTAATGTTCGTTTGTGGGATTAACAGAACTCAAAAACCACTGGACGAATTGACACCAAATTTGAACAGAAGACACCTAACAACCCAATGTATGTCCTTCACTCAAAAAATTGATTTTGTCATTTGGGAGTTGTAGTTGCTGGGATTTATAGTTCACTTACGATCAAAACACATTCTGAACCCCACCAACGATGGAATTGAACCAAACTTGGCACACAGTTCTTCCATGACCAACAGAAAATACTGGAAGAGTTTGGTGGGCAGTGTCCTTTGGTTTTGGAGTTGTAGTTCACCTACATCCAGAGATCACTGTGGACTCAAACAATGATGGATCTGGACCAAACAAATACTCAATATGTCCAAATGTGAACACTGGTGGAGTTTGGGGAAAATAGAATCTTGACATTTGTGAGTTGTAGTTGCTGGGATTTATAGTTCACCTACAATCACAAAGCATTCTGAACCCCAACAAACGATACAATTGGGCCAAACCCCCCACACAGAACCCCCATGTGGGCCACAGCAACGTGTGGCAGGGGGCATATATATTCTTCTCTTGGTACTGTTCCATTATCCAGGCAGAGGCCACTAGGGGGTGCTAGAGAGAGAAAGATAGTCCATTTTATTGGGGGGGGGGGTTGAAGGAGAAAAACCATTTCCCTGTTTTTGCTGGTTATTCCCCTTCTCCCCCTTCCCATATCATAAACAAGGGTTATTTCCATGACAGGTGGGAGGGGGGAATAACAGGAATACAGGAAGAAATGGTTTTCCTCCTTCAACCCACCCTCCACCCCCATAAAATGGACTATTCTTCTCTCTCTAGCACCCCCTTTTGCCCGCTCTACAGTGATAATGGAACAGTGCCCTCTGGTTCTTGCTTTGAAGCATGGATAAGAATATCATTTGAAATTATTTCTAGAGAGTAACTACGTAAGTCCTCTGTACTAAACCAGCCCACAGCTTTGTGGCACCTTACAAATGAACACATGTATTGTGGTACCTTTTGAATTACATTCATAGCTCACCTTTATACTTACATCAATTATTGCAATTGTAATACCATGCCTAGAATTATATTAATAAGGCCTTTCCATTTTGATTTTTTTTAAAGTAAAATTCTTTGGGTTTTGTCTCTTTAAATTAAACCAGAACAGATTCTGAATGTTGCCTTTATAAAGATTCTGTGAGTGCCAGTTGGCTGATCAGAGAAAGAAAGGAAAATGCAGGGCAAGGATATCCGTGAACTGGCTAAACTGTAAGGATAGTTGCTGTATTCATACCTGAGGACTAAACTATATATGATGATAACCATGCAGCTAACAATATCTACAGTAGTTTTGTGAAATAAGGAAAATGGTCCACAGTCCTGATCTGGATCTCACCAGACCATCTTGGTGTCAAGATACTTGAGCAGTTTGGGAAAGTTAGGTTAATCGCCATTTTAAGACTAGGACAGGTTTAGCATTTATAGCACTTAACCAGTACTGTCTTTAGTAGGTAAAATAAACTGGGATCCTTATGAATCAACAATGAAACACGAGTTTGTCTTTAAACCTGCAACAGATGTGGATGCAGATTGGTAAGATGACATTCATTTAACCAATTTCAAGTTTTCAGTCATTTCATGGTTATTTGGCATCTTAAAACACTTTCGCTGTCAGATTCATGTTGACAAGGACCAGGCCCATAGCCAGGATTTTGATTCGGGGGTCTACCCTAGCAAACCTTTTGTATTGTTACCCCAATACCCCCATGCATATGGGATATATTGAGTATGGTGATCAGATCATGATATGAATAAACATAATAGTTTAAATAATGCACCAGTAAGGCCTTCTCGCGGACCACCATGAGAATTTCGGGGGGAGCTGAAGCCCCTCAAGCCCCCCACCCCACCCCGGCTACATGCCTGACAAGGACACCTTTGTGTCCCTTGTTTAGATGCTTCAATTTTGGAGGAACTTTACTGATGCAACAGTATGCTTGATAAGTAGATTTAAGGGCCTTTGTGTATTCTTTTGCTCTCTGACATGTTTCAAAAATCAGAAATGGGTTTGCAGCCCTTTCTGGTTTTGTTTTGGGGTTTGAGGAGCAATAATAATACAATATTATAATTATAATTATATATTTACATTACATGTAATATTACTAATAATATTACAATATAATCGTATAGTGCAATATAGTAATATATAATACTGATATTGTATTATGCTAATAATATAATATATTGTATGAATATATATATTGTGACATATATGTATGTGTGTGTGTGTGTGTGTGTATATGTATGTATGTATGTATGTATGTATATATATATATATATATATATATATATATATATATATATATATATATATAGTAAGCCACTCTGAGTCCCCTTCGGGGTGAGAACAGTGGCAAATAAATGCTGCAAATTGAATAAATAAATAAATTTGGTAATGCATGTTTCCACACATGGTCTAAGAAACAGAAAAGTGGTCCCTCAATCTGCCAGAATTGCTCATTTGTTAATTATATCAGACTGGACAATTAGGACAATAGATCCCCACCATATTTTTTTATGCCCCTACCATAATTTTCTTAATTGTTTGCCCCAATTTACCCCCAAATACTCCAGGGCAGAGTTTCCTAACCTTTGGTCCTCCAGGTGTGTTGGGGCTCTTTCACACAGCCCTATATCCCAGAATATCAAGGAATAAAATCCTACATTATCTGAGTGTGGACTCATATAACCCAGTTCAAAGCAGATTTTGTGAGATTTTCTGGGATATGGGTTTATGTGGAAGCACCCTTGGACTTCAGCTCCCTGAATTCCTAACAGTTGGGACGATTAAGGCCCCTCCTAACCTGCCATAGAGTCCAGTATTTCAAATCAGATACAGTGTTCCCTCACTTATCGCGGGTGTTATGTTCCAGGACCACCTACGAAAAGTGAAAATCCACAAAGTAGGGACACTATATATATATTACACATTCTGAGGGTGAAGCAGAAGTGAGGAGAGATTTAAAGGCACCGCAAACCTTTCTTTTCTAGCTATAAGGAAGGGGCTATAAGGCCGTGATTTACATACTGCTTTGTTTCTCCTCTCTTTTTTATGATTGGCTGCCTCTCTCCTGAGGGGAAAGGTGAAACCCCCTTCCACACTCCACCGTTACCAGGATGCAACCCCCCCCCCCCCCGCAAAACAGCGAGTCTGCGAAAAGCGAACCGCGTAGTAGCAAGGGAACACTGTAATTCACATTATCTGCTTTGAACCGGATTATATGAGTCTACACTGCCATATAATCCAGTTCAAATCAGATAATCTGGGTTTTATATAGCAGTGTAGAAGGGGCCCTAGAGAACATTTGAGAGCAGTTTTATTTACCCTTGGGAAGCCACAAACACTCCCATGGGTTGTAATTTGCTTCTTCCTGATTAGATTAATGAAACCATTGTTTTTGCATGAACTATACTTTAAAAATCAACATAATAAGTTGAGAGATATCTTCAGATTTAAATGTATTAAAAGTAACGTTAATAATAATAATCTGTATTGTTCCTTGCAGTGCCAGAACAGGGACAGGGCACGTGATTCCCTTTCAAGTGGATGAACCAACTGCAAGGAATATTTACAAAGATGAATACTGCTGGAAGCCTTATTCCAAGGCAGAACCTATCAGGAGTGGCAGTGCATCGGGAATAAGGAGAAACAACCCACAGCCTGGCAACGTAATGAATGCCGTGTATTTCTATATTATATATTTTATTTTACAAGTGCTTCAGATTTAAATTTGTATGTAATCACCTGTTGCTCTCAAACTACTCCTCAAAGAAGATGCTACAGGACCTAAAAGTTAAAATGAGTCTTACTAATGTAACATTGTGGTTAAAAATATTTTCCATTTTAACTCACAATATATATATATGAGACCCTATCTGGATTGGGTTTCCTGTGCGAGATAAGGAAGATTTAAATTCCACTCTCTGCTGATTTTTTAATGTAGACCACTCTGTATGGGAATGAAAACAAGAAAAAAATGCCTTGCTATTAGTGGAGTAATATTTCGTATTTTAAATAAGTTCTCTTCAAGAGGCCCAATTAAAAAACACAGAGGGAGGTAAGATTAAAACTTCACTTTCTCATATATGATGGACCATATCTAGGTTGATGTCATGGATAGTGTAGATGAGGGCTTGGCTGTTGAACTAGGACAGCGGTTCTCAACCTGTGGGTCCCCAGATGTTTTGGTCTTCAACTCCCAGAAATCCTAAACTGGTTGGGATTTCTGGGAGTTGCAGACCAAAACACCTGGGGACACCACAGGTTGGGAATCACTGGACTAGAGCCCAGCCAGGAATAGCAACTCCCTCAGCCACAGCTAGAAGTAACAACTACTCAGCCTGCTGGTCAAACACAAGAGCAGTTGTTCCCAACCTGTGGTCCGTGGGGCACCAGTGGTCTGCAAGAACAAAAATACAGTCCACAACCTCACCATTACTACATTGTTGCCTCCAAACCATGCAGCAACGAAAGCAACTGGTCTCTCGAAACACTCTTATAGTGCTGAGGTAACAGGGATGTCTGGAGGAGAGAGGCTGACTACTCACAAAATACCACATCAGCTCTAGACTATTAAATATGATTTTCTGTGGGCAAGCAGATGGCGACTACTGGATGGCATATCAGAAACTAGAGCTGTTGTGGTCTTTCCAATGCAATTTTCTGAATCAGCACCCCAAATAACCAAACCAAATCTAAAGTTGACCAAAAACTAATTCGTAACCCTTTGGTACTAATGTTGGAGATAGGTCCCTGGTCAAAGTGGTCCCTGGTAAAAAAAGGTTGGGAACCACTGCACAAGAATATAAATAAACCTCACTATCTCTGAGGATGCCTGCCATAGATGCAGGAGAAATGTCAGGAGAGAATGCTTGGCCATACAGACTGGAAAACTCACAACCCAGTGATTCCAGCTGCAGAAGCCTTTGACAATACAATATAATAAAGTTTTATTATTATTGTTGTCTTATTATCACATGGAGCCCTCGGTGGCGCAATGGGTTAAACCACTGAGCTGCTAAACTTGTTGACCGAAATGTCACAGGTTTGAATCTGGGGAGCAGCATAGGCTTCCGCCATCAGCCCCAGCTTCTGCCAACCTAGCAGTTCAAAAACATGCAAATGTGAGTAGATCAATAGGTACCGCTCTGGCGGGAAGGTAACGGCGCTCCATGCAGTCATGCTGGCCACTTGATCTTGGAGGTGTCTACGGACAACGCTGGCTCTTTGGCTTAGAAATGGAGATGAGCACCACATCACAGAGTCGGACACGATTGGACTTAATGTCAGGGGAAAACCTTTACCTTTACCTATTATTATCACATGGGTTTTATTGGCAAGATTTGTTCAGAGGGTTGTTGTAGGTTTTTCAGGTTGTTTGGCCATGTTCTAGAAGCATTCTCTCCTGAAGTTTCACCTGCATCTGTGGCAGGCATCCTCAGAGGTTATGAGGTCTTTGTTCAGAGGGATTCGCCTGTGCCTTCTTCTGAGGCTGAGAGAGTATAACTTGCCAAAGATTAGCAGTTTTTTATGGCCTAGATGAGATTTGAACCCTAGTTTCCAGAATCGTAGTCCAACACTCAAACAACTATGGTGGCTTTTCCTGCATGCATAGAATAGTAGTATCTTTCAGTCACACACTTTACTCCAAGTAAAGTAAACAAATAGTAAATGATAAGGAACCCAACTCTGATCTGGAGCACTCTTGGGGCAAAGGGTTAAACCTCCTGTCAGGCTATATGCCCATGTTATATTAAGAGGGAGGAGCAACTATTCTGATAGATATACATAAAAATAGGGTAAAATCATTTAAGCCGTAGAAATTACATTTTTTTAAAAAAAATCCTTTTAAATTTGAGATCCATAGATTTTGGTATCCACTGGGTGAACCAAACCAGAGCAAATGGGCCACTGTATAACATACAAAGTGGGTGAAATGGAGAAATGCTTGTTCTCATAGCCATCTTAAAAAAAAATTAGGAAAATCAAAATCCTAAACAAAAAAAATTCAAAAGCATATTACAATGGAAGAGTATTTTTTTTTCCACATTGAGCTTTTTTCCTGCTTCCTTCCAACCGCTCGCTCCGTTGTATTTTCAGCGATTTCTGATATGGCAAATGCCTCGAGGGGAAATGCCATTGCCTACGGAAAGTTTTTCACCTTGGACAAAATCTATTAGCAAACAAGAGATTGAGGACGTATTAAAAAGGCAATATAAAACATCTTATGCAAGAGATTATTTAGGGATACAACCAGGTAAGGCTTCTTGTCTTGGTTTTGAAATACTGTTATTAAGATGACATTGAGGTTCGTGGGTACTTCTATAATCCACAATAGGAGAGGCTTGTATCCCCCAGGATTATGACAGCCTTTTTTTTGCATTTGGAAGAAGTCATTTAATTTAAGTGCTACATGTCCTTTCCCACAATCTCCTCTTACATATAAAATCATTATAAGCCATGACTTAGATCCTTCACCGTGTGTGTGTGTATACACACACATACATATACATACACATATACATACACACATACACATACACTCGCTGAAGGATCCAAGACATGGCTTATAACGAATATATATATATATATATATATATATATATATATATATATGGCATTTTGGATCATCCTTATAATCAATTCCCTATTCCAGTTAGCCCTACAGTTCCAGCCTCAAAGTAACCAGTATATTGAACAAGTAGGCTGGGTTGATCAGTGAGTTCGATGTGTTAATGCGCAACTGAATCTCCTAATTCTCTCTTCTTAAGTGAAAATATTCTAATAAGAGAGGTAGAAAATATAATCAGGAAAGAGTTATTTAGCAAAATAAATATCTAGCCTTATGCTGGTTCCATACAAAATACATAATAACACCTCAGTTTCCAACAAAATAACAATTCTTCCTGAACTCCCTCTGCATTCTTAGTTTCCAAAAACCTTCTTGAAATTTTTTCCATTTGCCTCTGGGCTTTATTACACAGACCCATTATTTCTCTGCAGTTGTGCTATCATTGATAGCGGATACATACCAGGATGCGCACTTTCAATATCGCACCTCTCCTCATTTACACACTTGCACTGATTTGGTAGTTCATGATCCCACAATTGTACTTCTGCATACCATCATAACAATGCCTTCCCAGAATTCTACTTTTCTGATTTTTTTTGGTAGAAAACAAAACAATACAAAAAGGTTAATATAACCGTAAAATCTATATAAATAAAAATGTAATGTTCGTTTGTGGGATTAACATAACTAAAAAACCACTGTGAAAATTGACACCAAATTTGGACACAATACACCTATCAGGCCAACGAGTGACCGTCACTCATAAAAACACTGAAAAACACAGCAGAAGAGACTTAAAAAGCCAAAATACAAAAAATACACTACAACACATGCGCAAAACCACATATATACACAAACATACATATATACACACATACACAAATATATATATACACACACAAAACAGGTACACAGGAAGGAAGGAAGGAAGGAGAGGAGGGAGTTAAGGAGGGAAAGAAGGAGGGAAGGAGAGAAGGAAAGAAAGAAATGTAGAGAAGGAAGGAAGGAGAGAAGGAAATAAAAAAGTGAAAGAAGGAAAAAAAGAGAGAGGGAAGGAAGGGGAGAAGAAATTAGAAAGAGGAAGGGAGGAAAGGGAGGAAAGAAAGAGAGAAGGAAGGATGCAACCAAAGATCAAAGGGAGGGAGGAAAGAAACGGGTAGAGAAGGAAGAAAGAAGAAGGGAAAGAGGAGGAAAAGAAAAAGAGGGAAGGAAGGAGAGAAAGAAAGAAGGAGAGAAAGAGGGAGGGAAGGTTGGCCGCAGCAACGCCTGGCAGGTACAACTAGTATTAAATAGGAAGAAAACAGACAACTTGAAATTAGTGAGTGTGAGGGGGAATAGGATGGGAATCCCATCCTCTGACATCACTTTACTGCCTACATGCTGGGAAAGAAGCAGAATGGACCCATCATGCCAGGTGGGTGATGGGAATGTTTTAGTGATAGGTTTTGCTCATTTATAGTGAATGATGGAATAATCACAGGAATAAACCAGACTAGTAGTGGGATCTGCATGTCATCATGTGAGAGGGATCATCACCAAAGGTGATGGTACAGCTTCAATGCCAATTAGTCTCCAACTGGCCCATCTTAAGTCTTACAGACAATATTTCATTTTTATAATTGTTTTTCCATACATCGTCCCCTTTCTCATGCTGATAGCAGTTTTAAGTGGTACATTAAAATTCAGAAGGGTTTGCATCCTTCTTTGCAATGCCTTAACCTGGATCCAAATGCCCACTCAAACACACACAGCTGCTTTTAATATAAAGGAGGTAAGGAGTCAAAGCACTGCAATTTTTGCTTCTCCTTAGATTCAGGTTTAGTTGCAACTGAAGCTGTCCTTATTCAGAACAATAAAGGTTCAGTAATTTGACATGCACATCTATTAGCCAAATCTCAGAACACTAAAAGAGAGAGAGAGAGAGAGAGAGATGTTATTTTTTCCAATAGTTTTTTATTAAGTTATACATCTACATAAAAGAAAAAAAGTTCACAAGGAAAGTGGGAGAACATTTAGGTATAGTAGGAAATTTTAAGAATCTGTATAGTCCGGTGGCGCAGTGGGTTAAAGCACTGAGCTGCTGAGCTTGTTGATCAAAAGGTCGCAGGTTCGATTCCGGGGAGCGGTGTGAGCTTCCGCTGTCAGCCCTAGCTTCTGCCAACCTAGCAGTTCGAAAACATGCAAATGTGAGTAGATCAATAGGTACCGCTCCGCCGTGAAGGTAACGGCACTCCATGCAGTCATGCTGGCCACATGACCTTGGAGGTGTCTACGGACAACGCTGGCTCTTCGGCTTAGAAATGGAGATGAGCACCACACCCCAGAGTCAGACATGACTGGACTTAATGTCAGGGGACTACCTTTACCTTTACTATAGTATAAAAAAGAAAAAAAAATCAAAAACAAGAATAGAACAAAAATTTATACAAAATTGGGAAAAAAGAAAAAAGACAAAAAAAGAGAAAGAAAAAAAATATTTTTGACTTCCATTCTATGTCTTCGCTTACAAAGTTTTCAGTTAATTTTTTTCTTCTCATCTTACTAAGATCTTTCCTTTAAATAATTTTCAAATGGTGACCAATTTGTCTCTTTTATGGGTTTTCCCGTATTTTTCTTCAAAAAATAGGTTAATTTGTCCATGTCCTTAATCTCCTGTAGTTTGACTATCCAGAGATGTGTTATTTATCACTTCCTCACACATTTTCTCCAGCACTGATTTCTACTCACTAGTTTTAAGTTTAATATGGTCTAAAGATAATGTACTGGATCCTTATATTTACTATGACATTTCCCTTTCACTTTTCCAGGTGCTGCAAAAGATGATTTTACAGCTCCTCCAGATTGGAAAACATTGGTTCCAAGGCCTCCAGATACTGAATTCAGGCGTAATTTCCAGCCACAACCCCATGATCCAGATTTAAAGTATTTTACTCGGAAATATGGTTGCAATGCAAAGCGCACGACTCCAGTAAAAGGCGCGGGTGAGAATACCTTGTTATTATACTGGCTTCAAGGCTTTGGCACAGCTTTTAGAATTTGGTTCAGTGACCCAGTTGTCATGCAGTGGAAAAAGAGCCTGCATCTGTGGCTGGCATCTTCAGAGGATCCTCTGAAGATGCCAACTACAGATGACGGTGAAACATCAGGAGAAAATGCTGCTTGAACATGGCTATACAGTACGGAAACCACACAACACCCCCAATTTTAGTAGTTGTCTTCAAAGTAACTTTTTACAGCATTATTGAACTGGAAGAGACCACAAGGGCCATCCAGTTCAACTTCTTGCCATGCAGGAACACACTATCAAAGCACCCCCAACAGATGGCCATCCAGCCTCTGTTTAAATACCTCAAGAGAAGAGGTGTGCATTTTTCTCTTCCACCAATTCTACAATGTTGTGGCTTGTAGTTAAAGGGCTGAAGTGGCATCAGCTTCTTCCAACTATTTCTAAATACCAACTGTCTCACTGAATTACCCTCTCTCTCATGGACATGTTTCCCCAGTGGGCACCATTACTATGGCAGGTCAACTATTTCTATGCTCTGTTCAGGAGAGCATGAAGTCTCCAAAATTCAATACCTGGGGTTTTGTTGATGGCAGGGGAGGCATTAGCATAGGGCGTGGTATTGTGGTTGGAAAGTTGTTCTTTTAGACCCGTCGCAAACTAGGCTCCTGCGGGAGCAAACCTTGCCAGCACGTCCCTGACGTCATGAGACTCCGCCTCTCGCCCCGCCCCTTTCTCCGCCCCTTTCTCTGTGCCAGCGTGGTTTTTCCTTTGCTAGGGCAGCATTGCCAGCGTACTCTCTCAGTTGGCAGAATTCAACTGAGAGAATATGCTGGCAATGCTGCCCTAGCAAAGGAAAAACCACTCTGGCACGGAGAAAGAGGCGGAGAAAGGGGCGGGGAGAGAGGCGCAGTCTCATGACGTCATGGACGTGCTGGCACAGTTTGCTCCCGCAGGAGGCTAGTTTGCGGCGGCTCTAAGACCCGTCGTAAACTAGCCTCCTGCGGGAGCAAACTGCGCGAGCACGTCCATGACGTCATGAGACTCCGCCTCTCTCTCCGCCCCTTTCTCCGCCTCTTTCTCCGTGCCAGCGTGGTTTTTCCTTTGCTAGGGCAGCATTGCCAGTGTACTCTCGTTGTTGACAGAATTCAACAACGAGAGTACGCTGGCAATGCTGCCCTAGCAAAGGAAAAACCACTCTGGCACGGAGAAAGAGGCAGAGAAAGGGGCGGAGAGAGAGGCGGAGTCTCATGACGTCATGGACGTGCTGGCACAGTTTGCTCCCGCAGGAGGCTAGTTTGCGACGGCTCTAAGATTACAAATCTCCAGCAGTACAATCTGTGACCATGCTGCTGAGGGATTCTATACCAAAAGAGCCATTTTCCAAGCCCCAGTAAGGCAGCAGTGTCAGACAGGACCACCATGGAGAGCAAACCGCCTCCTGCCCTATCTCTTTGGGAACATATGAGCTAGAGGTTCCAAATGATAAGTGTAAATAAAGGTCAGTCATCAGAGAAAGGCAGACCAAAAGGTACAGTATGACCCCCTATAACTGTTGAACCTGTGGCTTCACTTAATCTACATCCAAGAAAATATGTCCTCTCCAGGAATATTCTAGTTCTTCCTATGTCAATATAGGATGTGCTTCTGTTGGAAGTTCCCAAAGAATCATGCTAGAAAACCCAGAAAAATACCTAAGAATTTTCTAGGTGCTCCAGACATTCCTATTGTCCATAGTTTTCTCTTTCCAGAGTTACTTCAGGAACATATTCTTTGCAAATATGAAGTTCGTGTAGTATTTGTTTCATTATTTAACAGTTTCACTTGCCTCTTACTAATTTGTCTCCACAGTTCCTTCAGTGTCATCTGCCCAGATCTGGAATTATGAACACAGTAAACAACTGTCCACCTACCAGAGAGACTTTGGAAAAGATTATCTTGAAATGGTATCAGTTTTGAATTCTCTAGACCCAGAAGAAATTAGAGCCTATGTGGACAGATCTCCTTATCCAGGTAAAGTAGGGCAAGAATATTCCATTGATTGGGCAAAGGCAATGGTGAAACTAAAAGTTGGTAAACTTCCTGCCTGTCAGACCTTTTTAAATGTAGCGTAAGTGTTCTAATTATTCCATTAACAAAGTTTCCATTTTCTCAGCTGATGAAAGAGAGATTTTATGAGTGTGGAATGGGTGGTAAATAGAGAAAATGGACAAGACATCAGCTTGCAAATGAGTTATAAGTGAGTGAGTATTGAAAGGTAAAGCGAGTGAACAGGTGCTGGCTGACAAAAGAGTGAATGAATGGGCAGCTATCCTTATATCTTTATATGTCTCTTCTTTTCCAGTTTCCCTTTCCAATCATTCCTTTTCATTCTTTCCTTCCCAGCCACATGGTTTTCAGTACTTTAAAAAAAAAATACCCAGTTGATATTCCTTGGACACGGGACACCCACAGTCCCCACTAGTTTCTTTTGGAGAGAGGGATCTCACCTCTCTACTTTTCTTTCACTAAAGATTTGTGTATTTCTATAAACCCTCTGGGTCATTTTCTTTTTGTTGAGCCCCCGGTGGTGCAATGGGTTAAAATGTTGTGCTGGCAGAACTGCTGACCAATAGGTCAGCGGTTCAAATCCAGGGAGAGCGAATGCAGCTACATTTTGCCTACAGAGAGGCAAAATGTATCCTCACAGGGAGAAAAGAAAAGCAGAAGTAAAATGGTGGAGACCTCATGGTCTACCCAGGGAAGTTTAAGTTTAAAAGGAAGTTCCCTCACAGAAATTCAATTACTACATAATCAAAGTGGGAGAAGATAGTGGATAGCAGTGAAAACAAAAGACAAAGCCCTTTATTGAATCATAGAATCATTGAGTTGGAAGAGACTTTATGGGCCATTCACTCCAACCCCCTGCAAAGAAGCAGGAAAATCACATTCAAATACCCCCTACAAATGGCCATACAGCCTCTGTTTAAAAACCTCCAAAGAAGGAGCTTCCACCACACTCTGGGGCAGAGCACTCCACTACTGAACAGCTCTCACCATTAAGAAGTTCTTCCTAATGTTCAGGTGGAATCTCCTTTCCTGTAGTTTGAAGCCATTGTTCCGCATCCTAGTCTCCAGGGCAGCAGAAAACAAGCTTACGCCCTCATCCCTATGACTTCCCCTCACATATTTATATATGGCCATCATGTCTCCCCTCTTTAAGAAAACATGCATAAGAATGTGGAGGAAAGGAATCCCTGAGCTTAGCCCTGTCTCTAGTCTAGCTAGTCATAGAGGACTAGAAGCTTGAGGACATAAAAACTTGTGCAGTCCAGGCAGGCCCGTAGCCAGGATTTTGATTCCRGGAGGGGGGGGGGCTGAGTTTGATTCGGAGTGGGCGGGGGCTGRGTTTGAGTGAAAGAGGGTCTACCCTAGCAAACCTTTTGTATCGTTACCCCAATACCCCCATGCATATGAGATATATTGAGCATGGTAATCAGATCATGATATGAATAAACATAACAGTTTAAATAATGTACCAGTAAGGCCTTCTCGCAGACCGCCATGAGAATTTCCCAAGTGGTCGTCCCCCCCCGTCCCCCCCCCGGCTACATGCCTGAGTCCAGGGATGAAACCTAACAGAAATTGCTGTTTGCATAAGGTGGAAAATTTTCTTTGGTGAGAATATCAGAAAAATGTCGCTTATTGCTATATATTTATTACATTTTGAAATCTCCCAGTGACCAGTGTTCTCTTTTCTAATGACAAAAGTGCCTTGATACTGCTTTTTGTTGGACTCTTTCACAATCAACCCATTCTCTGTTCAAATGTGAAACAATTATTTGAGATTGTTTTGTCTGAATATTCAAGCTTAGTGATACCTTTCTTTCCATTGTTTGTGCAGAAAAAGCAATTCTTCAGAACTTCCTTGACAAGGTCAACAAAACATTCCCAAGGCCTTCCTCCTCAAAGAAGATGGAAAAAAATCCAGTCAAAGCATGTGATGATTGTCAGGAGAAACCCCAGCCATCCTCTGGGCAGCTGGACCACAACTGAATGCCCTTCGGGTTTCTCTAACATTAAACCTTTTGAAGAGTTACATCCTGGGGTTTTAATTTTTTATTCTTTAGGGTTTGGTTTGAAATGATAAATGATCACAGCAGTTATTTTACCATCCTTGTGGGAGGCTTCTCTCATGTCTCCGCCTGGGGAGCCGGAGCTGACAGAGGGAGCTCATCCGTGCTCTCCCCAGATTCGAACCTGCAACCTGTTGGTCGACCAGTCCTGCCGGCACAAGGGTTTAACCCACTGCGCCACTGGGGGTGAGAGAGAGGAAAGAGGTGAGAGGGGAAAATAAAAGGTCAAGGGGAGAACTAAGGGGTTTCAAATCCACCTGAAGCTGGTACTTGCTGGACGGTTCCTTTAAGTTGAGTAACAGGTTTGAACTCAAGTACCTCAAGCCAGGTACCTTTAGGACAGCGTTTCTCAACCTGGGGGTCGGGACCCCTGAGGGGGTCGTGAGAGAGTGTCAGAGGGGTCACCAAAGACCATCAGAAAACACATATTTCTAATGGTCTTAGGAACACAGTGCTCTCCGGAGTTAAGTGAACTACATCTCCCCTAAATCACTGTCAATTCCTCCCAAATCCCTGCAGTATTTCCTGTTGATCATGGGGGTTCTGTGTGGGAAGTTTGGCCCAATTCTTTCATTAGTGGGATTCAAGGGGCACTTTGAGTGTAGGTGAACTATAAATCCCAGCAACTACAGCTCCCAAGTGTCAAGGCCTCTTTTTCCCAAACTCCACTAGTGTTCACATGTGAGCCATATTGAGTATCTGTGCCAAGTTTAGTCCAGATCCATCATTGTTTGAGTCCATAGTGCTCTCTGGATGTAGGTGAACTACAACTCCAAAACTCAAGGTCAATGCCCACCAAAACCTTCCAGTATTTTCTGTTGGTCATGGGAGTTCTGTGTGCCAAGTTTGGTTCAATTCCCTCATTGGTGGAGTTCAGAATGCTCTTTGATTGTAAGTGTACTATAAATCCCAGTAACTACAACTCCCAAATGACAAAATCAATTATTCCCCCCCACCCACCCCACCAATATTCAAATTTGGGCATATCGCATATTTGTATCAAATACATCCTGCATATGAGATATTTATATGATGATTCATAACAGTAGCAAAATTACACTTGTGAAGTAGCAACAAAAATAATTTTTTGGTTGGGGGCCACTACAACATGAAGAACTGTATTAAGGGGTCGCGGCATTACGAAGGTTGAGAAACACTGCTTTAGGACATAATAAACCACAAGCATGCATCATCCTTAACAAGGTGGCAGTGTGTATCTTTCCTGTAGTGGCAAGCTAATGGAAAAAGGTGGTTGCTGACAATAAGAGTAGAACCACAAAAAAGTAGTCCTTAAGTTACAAACATCTGACTTAGAAAACACTCATAGTTAAGAACAGGGGTGAGACAACAGGAAGTGAGAAAGATATACCCCTTCAAAAGGAAATTCCCTCCCAAAAGAGTCATCATGGGGAAATGGTATCTCCACTGAAGCTTTAGTACCAATCTTTGTTTCTAAATTTTTCAAAATCCAAGTCTTACAGGGACAAAAAGTGAGGTGAAATCTTCTGAACGGGCACAGGCAGCAAAACAAACACCACAGAGCTGTTAACTCTCCCAAAATTACACACACACAGCTGGAGTTGCACATAAAAATCTGACTTTCATACAAATCCAGGTTAAGAACAAACCCTATTCGTAAATTTGAAACTGCCTGTAAAGAGAAAATAGCCTCAAGGGAAAATTTAAAAGCTGCAATGCTATTAAGTTCTCAAAAATCTCAAGTAAAACCATATTAAGGATTGCCAGAACATCTTGTCCTTCTAAATGACTAACCAGTGGAACACAGAGGAGAGAGATTTGGTTGTGTACCTGACATTTGGCTGTATGCAGCATGCATCTGCTAGGCATCTGCTTCCTAATACCTAAGGCTGCACGCGTCCTTGAGATATATATGCAGTCCAAAATCCCTTGTTACTCATGAATAGTAGCCTCGATGGATTTCTCCCCCCAAAACTTTCCTTGCTTCTACAATGACATTGATCTATAGGAGACACCTGGGGGTGCTGCACCTCCTAGTTTGCTTTCTCTGTGTATGCTCTGGGACTTGAGGGAAGTGCCGTGATTGGAGCGACTGCACACTCCAAACAGAGCAACCTACCTAATATTTTTCTCTCCTTGGAGCCAAGTGGCCACAAGCTGCCACCTAAGGGACCAGGGAATGCAGAGCAGAACTGAGTAGCTTGGAACTGGAGTGTCAAGTGTATTTGTAGCATTATGCTGTTGAGGAGGAAAGTACGACCAGTTTCTGCTTCAGGGAAGTTAGAAACATCCACACTGAGCAGGTAAGCAGGGGAGAAATGGGACAAGAGCAGAGATTTCTCTCTTTTTGAAAACACAGATATATTGCTGGCTGTAAAATTAATAATGCAGGGAATGTAATTGCTGTGTGAAGCCAAGAGTGACTGCTGATCTGTATTGTTTGAAAGCCATTTCCTGTTGTCAAGGAACCAAAGTGGCTATTTTTAATTATAATGAATGGTCATTTTCTATGCCAGGCATTCAGTGTCTTTGTCTAACACTTTCCCACTTCAGTCCTTTCAGCAAGTATTCCTCATTTGAGGCCGTTCTTTCTGTTAAAAAACACAATTTTGTTTTGTTTTGTTTTGTTTGCTCAGCCTGCTTTGCTTAGTTGAGAATGTGGTGTGGATTATAATTAGCTTTATCCTCTGAGTATTGGCCAACAAGGGAGATAATCTTGAATTGGTTTCATGGGTGAGGGTAAGATAGGGAAAAGTTGAAACTGTTTTAGGAAAAGTTAGGAGAAACTTAAGAATAAAAGGATTAATGCTTTGCTGGGGCAACTGCAAAGAAATTGAACTGCACTTTTCCAATATTTCCCTAATCATGCTAGCAATCCTTTAAACAGCGTTTGAGTGGATCGTATAGCATTTCCTCAAAAGGTGGATTCAGTCAAGATGTCAATCTGCTCCAGGTTTTACTCCAGATTTTAAAAGCTCTATCCAAGGTACTGAATCCTATCTCCAAAACAAACTCTGCATTTTGGATAGATCCTTTAAAGCAGTGGTTCCCAACCTGTGGTCAGTGGACCATCAGTGGTCCTCAAGAACTAAAATATGGTCTGCCGTCTCACCATTACTACACTCTTGTAACAAGAGTGGCTGGTCTTGCAAAACCATCTTATAGTGCCGGGGCTTGTTAAATACAGTTTTCTGAGGGCAAGCAAATGGCAATCATTGGATGGCATACGTTCTGTATCGGAAACTAGAGCTGATGTGGTCTATCCAATGCAGTTTTCTGAATCAGCACCTCAAATAACCAAAATGAATCTAAAGTTGACCAAAACTGGTTTGTAACCCTTTTGGTACTAATGTTGGAGAGTGGTTCCTAGTCAAAGTGGTCCCTGGTCAAGAAATCTCTGGTCAAAAAAAAGTTGGGAACCTCTGCTTTAAATTCTGAACTGTGAGCCAGAGCAGATTCATTGTCCCAATAACGCTGTCAATAAAGCTGTATTGATCCAATTCATCCCCTAACAAATTGTGGCAGTTCTTCCAAAAAGAGTTCTTTCTGTTTTGAGTTATATTTTAAGCTTTGAAGTGTTTCTAAGCAAACTAAGTGTTATTCTAACATGTGTTGAGTTATCACAGCAAAACCAGCTTCATCATCCTGCTCATAATGTGATGGAAATTCCACACTATGATCAGGAAATCCTTTAAAGTTACCTATAATCTGAGAGGGTCTCCATGAAGAGGACTTTGTTGTCTCCTTGTATGGAATTTAGGAATGGAGGAGCAGGGCTAGTGGAGTCTCTTGAATAGAATTACTATCACCCTTCGCTTCCAACCAGCAAATTAAGAGTTCGATGGGTTCTCTAACTCAGGATGCTCACTTCTGTTAAAAAGGTAAAGATTTCCCCTTGATATTAAGTCTAGTCGAGTCCAATTCTGGGAGGTGGTACTCATCTCCATTTCGAAGCGGAAGAGCCGATGTTATCTTTTGACGCCGCCAAGGTCTTGTGGCCAGCATGACTGCATGGAGTGTTGTTACCTTCCTACTGAAGCGGTGCCTATTGATCTACTCCCATTTGTATGTCTTTAAACTGCTAGGTTGGCAAAACTGGGGCTAACAACGGGAGCTCACCCCATCCGCAGATTCCAACTGCCGACCTTCCAACCAGCAAGTTCTGCAGCTTAGCAGTTTAACCTGCTGTGCTACCATGGCACCTTCTGTTAGAACAATTAAATTCCAGGATTATTTGCAAGGACGACAAATATTGGGATGTGCTCACATATCCCTTTCAACAGATTTTATCACTTTAAGCACTTTAAGCAGTTTTCATCTCCCAGGCTAAAGATATTTTACAACTGCTTTACCATATTTCACTGAGTGACATTTTAAATCCCTTTTTTGAATTTAAAAAAAGGGAGTGGGTGACTATTACATGTTGTAAAACAATTCCAGCTATGGGACATCACATGACTGGCAACAAAAATGAAAACCCATAGCTGGAAAGCGGGTAGACCTGTGGGCGAGTGAAGCTTCTCTCGCTTGCGCACCTGTCCTCCCTTCTTGGTTCTATGGGGCCTCACAAAAGGATTTGTGAAACTACAACCTTCATGATTCCATTGCACTGAGCCACGGCAGTTAAAGAGCTCCCTAACTGCATTAATTCCACAGTGCAGATGCACCCCCAGTTTTCCTAGATTTCTTGTCAATGTTCTGTCCAAGACACACTCTGCCCAAACTTATTATTATTGCCATAGAAAACCGTATATTGGCAAAGAATAATGGGAATTGTAATCCACATGGCTGGAGGACATTAGGGTGATGAACATTGATATATGGGTTTCTCTACTGTTCAGCATACCTAAATAATAATTTCTCCCATGGAACTATTATGGAGCATCATTTCACAGCACAAAGGCTTGAATTAGTCCAGAGTATTACCTGTAGCCCAGCAACGTTTAGCTGTAAACACAAAATGAAAACAGTAACCAAAGCTTTTATGCATCATGTACTTGCAAATCTGTTTGACTTTGTTTTGGCCTCCAGCCAGAAAACTGTCTTGTATTTCTAAGAAGAATACAGAAGATAATGAATGAAACCATAGTGGGTATGTGCTACTATAATTTAAATAATCTTTAAGCCTGGATGATCAAGGATTCATTACAATTGCTTCAAGCCTCTTCTTGGCTAGAGGTCCAGTAACAAAGAGGAAATATGTAGTTTCCGTTCTTTTCTTTCCTACTCACTTCAGGACTCTCCCAATGCGTCTATTATAATTTCTTGAATAATGCAGTAGAATTGCACCAGATCAAGATATCAGCCTCATCAAAGCATTAGTAAAAGTGGTCAACAGTGGAACCCATTGCCTGGAGAGCTAGTGAATCTCCTTCTCTAAGAATCTAAAAGATTCTGGACAGCTAGCTGGAGATCTACTCTATCATTCTATAGTTCCATTACTCTAAAGGACTAATTATGGGTTCACACACTGAATTTTTTTTTTCTATTACCCTCTACTGTCCTTTTAAATGTCTATGCCCCCATTCATAAAATAACAAATTGGTTGTAATGTGCTTTCAAGTGGTTTCCAACTTATGGCAACCTTAAAGGGAGCCTATCAAAGGGTTTTATGGGGCTGAGAGCATTTGACCTGCCCAAGGTCACCTAAAGGATTTCCATGACTGGAAAATAAAATATATATAAATAAGAAGATTAAAGAGGGGGAAAACATCATTTTTTTTACTTTCAGTAGCTGTATACTTTATATGCTCATGTATTAGTATAGAAATTTTAGTTAAAAAAATCAACCCAAAAACTTGGGTCGACTTATCTACTGGTAAATCCTAACAAAAACGGTACACAATCCTATCACTGCAGAAAGGTAACACCATTGGTGGGGAGTTTGTGGGAAAATAGGGTTGTTGTGAGTTTTCCAGGCTGTATGGCCATGTTCCAGAAGCATCCTCTCCTGACATTTCACCTGCAACTATGCCAGGCACCCTCAGAGGTTGTGAGGTCTGTTGGAAACTAGGAAAATGACGTTTATATGTCTGTGGAATGACCAGGGAGGGAGAAAGAACTCATGTCTGCTTGAGATAGGTGTGAATGTTGCAGTTGGCCACCTTGACTAGCATTTAATGGCCTAGCAATTTCACGGTCTGGCTTCTTACTGCCTGGGGGAATCCTTTGTTGGGAGATGATTATCTGGACCTGATTGTTTCTTGTCTGGAACTCCCCTGTTTTTGAGTGTTGTTCTTTATTTACTATTATGATTTTAGAGTTTTTTAAAATAATGGTAGCCAGATTTTGTGCATTTTCATGGTTTTCTCACTGTTGAAATTGTCCACATGCTTGTGGATTTCAGTGGCTTCTCTGGGAGCAAAATTCTTTAACAAAGAAGACTTCCATATGTGCTGGGATTAGGAGCACAAACTCCATAGGAAAATGAAAAATCTGTTTTAGAAAAACAATTTTAATTGAGACAACATACCTGTAGGCATCTTAGGTCCTTCAACACAACTCTATGGTCATTGTCAGCTAGAAGTTAACCATAGAATCACATTGGAGATTCCTAGAGAAAATATCTTGATAAAACTTCTGAATAATCAAATCCACAAAAGGCAAAGCTGCAAATGTCTGGGACAAATGTTCTTTCATGGAGTAGGAAAAGCAAGGGACTAGCCATTCAGCTATATTTATTGTTTCACTGGAATATGTGAATGTTTAACTTTTTCTAATGCATGGTACTGAAAAATTATAATAAGCAGAAATATGGCTTTTCTTCATATCAGTCTCATAAGAACTCTCACTATAGTCTGATAGAGAAAATGTCCACAGCGTAGTAATGCAGATCCTCTCCCAACACACATTTTGTGATGATCCCCTGCAATTACTTTGCGAATATTAGCATTTTTTATGCCCCAGATTCTTTTTGCTTTATAACACGGGGACTGAAAATTACATGGACTACATTTCTGAGATGGATGTATTGCTAAGCCTTGTCAATAAACTCTAACCCAGGCATGGGCAAACTTCAGCCCTCCAGGTGTTTTGGACGCCAACTCCCACAATTCCTAACAACTGGTTAGAACAGGTTCCCCATGCCTGCTCTAACCCCACTTGGTCAGTAAACTGGCGTTGCTTCTCTTGATGCTGTTGCTCTCATCAGCAAGTAATAATTAATTAACAAGAGCAGTAATACCTTTATAGCTACCTTCTGGTCTTTCTGCTCTGACAGCCTTCTGAATGATCTGAGAGAGGCGGAAGCAACAACAGACCCTTTGTTTCGTCGGGCTCAGACTTCATTAGGAGCCCACAGGCTGCAAGCCACATCTCCAGTTTCAGAAGGTCAGAAGGAGGTTCCCCAGCTTCCAGAATGGCTGATGAAAGAGATGCTGAAAGGGCAACAGAGGAGTCATTCCATTGGACTCATGGAAAACATATCGGAGAGTGGAAGTGTTCGTCATCGTGTTGATTCCTCGAGAAGACAATGGAAAGGAAAGGTAGGGTGGATTCCTTTGCTGGGTAATGACAGGCTTCAAAATATGAAACATAGTGAGCGACTGTGACAGAGCATGCTAGTATAATTTATAGGGACAGAGCTGCCCCTAACAAGAGATACAGTGAGACAATTGCCTGAATTGATAGATGATATGGGAAGCAACTGAAAGACCTGAGCAGGGCTGTTGCAGATATATTGACCTGCACATATTGTCACCATAAATAGAAGTCAACGTTGGGGAGTACCATGAGGTGTTGGAAGATTCAACTGCAGGTGAACCAAACAATTTACTCTGAACTTCATAAGGTGGCATGTTCACCTCAAGTATTCGAGAGACAGCTAATACTGAAGTAAGACTGAAGTGACAATCAAACACTCAAGTGTACAGAATGAGCATCAAATTGCATTTTGACTTCAATGAGAAAAACGTCTTAGAAACAACCTGGCATGAAGAATATCTGATTGGAAGTTATTTTCTTTCCTAAATTATTAGAGTAAAATAGATAGGCCTTGCTTTCAATTTTTTAAAAATTGAATTATTTGACATATTATAATTGCCATGGGGATGGTACCCAAAACAGCCTTGGAGATAGATAGATAGATAGATAGATAGATAGATAGATAGATAGATAGATAGATAGAAACAGGAACATGAAGCAAAGATTCCTTGTATACTAAGAAATCATGACACTCCAGATGTTCCTGGACTGCAGAGTCCAGCAGTCCTAATCAGCAGAGCAAATGACAAAGAATATTGGGATTTCTGATCCAAGAACTTAAGGAAGGCCATATACCATATATACTCGAGTATAAGCTGACCCAAAGCTGAGGCACCTAATTTTACCACAAAAAACTGGGAACATGTATTGACTTGAGTATAAGCCGAGGGTGGGAAATGCATCAGCTACTGGTAAATTTCAAAAGTAAAAAATAAAAATAGATACCAATAAAATTACATTAATTGAGGCATCAGTAGGTTAAATGTTTTTGAATATTTACATAAAACTGTTATTTAAGATAAGACTGTCCAGTTCTGATTGAATCATTATTCTAACCTTCTTCAATGTCAATGTGCTTACATATCCTTTCAATAATCACCATAGTTTATTTTAATTACACATTTTGCTGTATACATATGAATAAGGAAAAGTGGGAAAGACTGGTGCTGAAAGAGGAGGAGAGGAAGGCATGTGCTGCACCGAGAGGGGAGAGGAGGAAGGTGCATGCTGCACGAGAGAGGAGGAGAGGAAGGAGAGCTGGGTTGCTGTGTGGAGAGTTGAGGGTCCTGGCAGGAAGGCATGGGACAGAAATAAGACCTTCTTTCAGGCCCACACCTTCCTGCCAGGACCCTCATCCAAATATAAGCCAAGGGGGGCTTTTTCAGCCTAAAAAGAAGGCTGAAAAACTAGGCTTATCCTCAAGTATATACAGTAATTCCTGCCATTGTCCCAAATATTTCCAAATAGGGATTGTAAAACACATCAGGTCCGTTTTCTCCAAGATTCAACATTCTTAAATATCACACTTTTTTTCTCTTCTACAAATGAAAAAAATGCAATTTTTTAAACCCTTTACGAAATTTAATATCACTTGCAACAGATAAATTCAATAGGTACATGTATTCCCTGCAATGTTCTCTCCTGATCCTAGTAGATGTTTATATAACTCCATTGATACGTAGTTTTAAAAAAGATACATATGAAATTCTAGCTTGGTTTGCATGCAGGAGTAATTATTCAAAATGTTAGACATTAATATTCATTACTATTAATTCCTTCTATTTGTTTTAGTCCCTGCCTTCTAAGGATGCACTTTCTCCCATTTTTTATGGCTGCTTTTAGCAGAATTGGCCAGATTTATGGTAGATGGACAGCTCCATCATGAAATCTATTCAAGAGGCCACTAAACTGATACAAACTGGGTTGAGAAATTTTGTCATTGATGGACGGCACTTTTTAGTCCTCAGGTTTTTCAGAGTTTTAAAACGAGTCTATTTTTAACCAATTCAATCTTGTTTTTTGTCTTGGAAAGATCGAGCAGCAAGTAACTCTTGAACAGCTTCAGAAGATACACGCAGCTTTTCAGGTATTACCATCCTAAAGAAAGCACCTATGTACCACTGTATAACAGGAATTTGTGAGCCCAAAAATCTCTATTCAGACCAAGACCAACCCTGCCATGGTTGTTTACACTGAACCATAAAAGAGGGCAAAAAGAAGGCAACAGCAGATACAGGTTTGCATGTGATGATTTATATACAGAAATGCAAATATGTAATAAAAATCTAATAAATCTGTGTAGCTGTTCTATCTTCTATCCAGTTGCTAACTGTGGATAAAGAACTTCAAAGTATCTCCTCTTCCTTTTTCTGGTTCCTTTCTTTCAGCATTCTCAGAACTAGTTTTAAGGTCGAGAATAGGGCTCAGCTTTAGCAGGTAGATTGTTATTAATCTTGCAGGCAAGTATAATTCACAGATCCTTAACTATGGAGACTTATAAGCACAACGGCTATGCCTATCATCTGTTCATAGTAGCCTATTCATGAGTAAGTTGTCATAAAATAGAATTGCAGGCAAACTTTATTATTCCTGGAAGTGCTCAGTGACAAGTTTTATCTTAATATTTCATAGTGTGCATCTACATTGTAGAATTAATGCAGCTTGAGACCACTATAGAATCATGGGAGTTGTCATTTGGTGAGACTCCAGTAATATTTGGCAGAGAAGGCTAAAGACCTTGTAAAACTACAACTGCCATCTTTCCATAGCATTGAGTCATGGCATTTAAAGTGGCGTCTAATTACATTAATTCTATAGTGTAGATGCATCCTTACTGTTTGAGGATTTAGTGCATAAATGATGGAGAATGCTTGAGGGGGCTCAATTACACAGGAATCTCGGTGGTCCAATGTTGCCAGATACTTTCAGGGGAACTTCAACCTCCCTGCCCCTCATTCTGAGATCTTTATGTCAAAATTGGATTGAACAGCAATTCAAATAGAGATGATATTGTCAAACAGAGAACTGTTACCTATAAAGCAGGACTTATGCATATGTCATCCTAGTTTCATTTCTACCAACGTCCTTGTCCTCTATTGCTTTTCTATCACTCTTTGTTGGTCTTATGCAAGTCCTCAAGAGATCAGACTTTATGGCAAACGTTGAATCCACACAGTTGTCTGAAGGTCCAAGAACATCCTAGGATCACACACAAGTCCTTAAACTGCTTGATGGGTCCAGCTTCAAAGATATCTATTATCCACGAATGGACTCTGATTATAACAAAGGAGAGGCTTGTCTATCAGCATCATTGGCTAAATGCAGTAGGATCTACTTCTGACACAGCATGAAATGTTCTGTGTTATTTGAAATAGGGAAGCACCCAAGTTGGTCTAGTCTGCAACTGTGCCTTTAAATGTAAGCAAGAAAAGATGAAATCAGCATATGAAGTTTTTGACGAAATTGAGCTAAACATTGTTATTTGCAAACTGCTGAACATTCACCTGCTGTTAAAATAACAAGTGTAGGATAAATTCTCAAACTGGACAGCCTAACTGTGAAATATTTCTGCCTTGTGATACTGAAAGTAGTTGAACTCCTTCACCCAATATGCTAGCACTATCTGTACCTAATTTGTGCTTAAAATGCAATAGTAAAGGTAAAGCTTTCCCCTGACGTTAAGTCTAGTTGTGTCCGACTCTGGGGGGTGCTGCTCATCTCCATTTCTAAGCCAAAGAGCCGACATTGTCTGTAGACACATCCAAGGTCATGTGGCCGGCATGACTGCATGGAGCGTCGTTACCTTCCCGCCAAAGTGGTACCTATTGATCTACTGACATTTGTGTGTCTTTGAACTGCTAGGTTGGCAGAAGCTGGGGCTAACAGCAGGAATTCACCTCACTCCCTGGATTTGAACCACCAACTTTTCATTCAGCAAGTTCAGCAGCTCAGCGGTTTAACCCACTGCACCACCAGGAGGCCGGGTTATTTTTCAATTCAGAATTTAAAATGTAGTTTTGCATATTCATCGTAGATCTATTCAGGGCAAAAGAACTGACAGACACAAATGGGATTTTACTTTGAAATACAGAGCCCTGCCAAGTGCATGTTTTTCCTCTGTTGCTTTATCTGTTTCCAGGAATTTGAAATTAATAGATATAAATCTTTGGATGTGGAAAACTTCAAGCACATATTCAAGAAATGCATGGGATCACAGAATGTAGTAAGTAACCCACAATGTAAAAGTCATGTACCAATACTTAATACCAGGATTACAGGAAGGAGGGTTGGAGGGGATAGTATATGCCCACATTTGGTAATAATTAATTTGAATATTATTTGTTACCCTTAATCTATTTAAATTTTAAGCAATTATTTTTTAAAAAATAGCTGTTAAAACTATTTTGAGAGACATAATTTTGATAAATTTATTATTGACCATTTCTAATAATGTTAAACTTTTTTTAAAAAAAATAACAATTAAGAATTAACTGTTTGATTAATGTATTAATTTTGTAAATATAAATTCTCACATGATTTTCTGTTTTAATTTAACACTAAAGTATTCAATTTGACTGTAATGTTTCCAGGTTTCAGAAGTAGTTCCTATTCAGCCTTTCTCCACCATATTTTTGGTTCACACATTCCCATTTCCTTGACCAAACCCATCCATCCTCTCACAATGTTGTCCTTGAGAAAAGATACTTCATGAAATCTTTGGGAAAGGGGATAAATAAAATGTTTACTATCTATAACTTTATTTCTCTACAGAATGATGAACAATTAGAAGAACTTTTCATGAAAATAGACTATTCTGCAACTGGCAGAATTAAGTGGGTAAGTGGAAGACCCGGCAGGATATTATAAAAGGATTAATTGCTTACAATAAGATGCAAGTGTAGTTAGAGTTAGTGACCTTTTCATACCTATACAAATTGCTAGAGTTACTGATTTCCATACCCAGTCACTTTGTGTATCACTCTAATCTTCTTCCCCTTTCCTCCATAAACCATGTAAAAGGAATTTGTAAGTAAAGCCATGTTATATGTTTCACAAAGAAGACTGAGCTTGTTTTATTTTTATTTATTTTTCTGATAGGAAGTGGGCATGCATGGGCCTGGTTGTTGTTCAGCTTCTGCTTTGCCATTTCAGTTATTCTATTAGAGTAGCTGGGAATAATCTACTACATTTCCCAACATCAGCAAAGAAAGAGGATATAAATACATCTCTATAAGCCTTTGTGTAGTTTAGAATGAATAAAAAGGATGTCACATTAGGATTTTGGAGCTGAAAAGGAAGAACCTGAATCTTGTTCTTAGTCCTGATGTTGTGCCCCAGCTGTGCGACACCTTTTCACCCAAACACCATGCAGGGACAAGAGAATCCCAAACACCATGCAGGGACAAGAGAATATATATATACCTCAATTCCCTCCCATAACATCACTTGTCATACACCTGGTTGTTCTCTGCTTATCTTGAAGCATTTGGGAAAATTGTCTCTCTTTCACACTCTCTCAGAGCAGTTGCAGACACTCTGATCTACAGAAAAACTCACACTCCTCCACATTCCTCTCAGGAGAAAACTCTGGCAGAGTCTCAAGGGAACAGATTTCACTTTCTCTGACATACTGAGAACTACCAGGAGATTCACTAACACATCTCTCCATGCCACTTCCATCCCCCAAAACCCTCTCCTGACATCCCACAAAATCCCCTTCCTCATCCTCTGAAACATCTTGGTGGCCCCTTGTCTATGGAACTCCCTCCCCAGTGAAACTAGATTGTCCCCCTCTCTCCTGACCCTCAGTGGGGAAAAAAATCAAAAACTTGGAATCAGGCTTTTGGTCAATAATGAGAGCAAGGCAATAAGAGATTGTAAATTATTTTTTAATGACAACCTGGACTGGCTCTGGAATATGACCTGGATTGTGTTATTTTAATTGTTGTTTTAATATTATGTTTTAATTGGATGGTTTTAATGTTTTTGTTATTTCATTGATGGATGTATCCATGCAGCATTGAATTGTTGCCTTTGTAAGGCTGCCTTGAGTTCCCTTCAGGGTTGAGAAAGGTGGGATACAAGTATGATAGATAAATAAATAAATAAATATGGAATTCAAAACGTAAAAAAGCATACAAACATTAAAATAGAATTAAACATTGCAACTTTTAAAAATAGACAGTTAAAACCAATTATGTATACAGTATATGTATGATTCAGGTGTTCAGGCTTCTGCCACTCTTTAAAAAAAACCTGTGATAGGGTTGTCATAAATCGGAAACAATTTGAAAGCACACAAACTGGCATGTATAATTAGTGTTTGGTATGCTTTTAATTTGTGTTGGCTATAATAATTTTTAAGTCTAACACCCACATCATCATAAACATCAAAGAGATTTGCTATAAATTATTTCCCAATTAATTGGAGGAATAAGCTCCATTGAACGTAGTAAGACTAATTTCTGCATATATCTTAAATTATTACTGTTTCCCCTCCTCCTGTACTAGCATGACTTCTGTACCTACATGCATCTGGAATATGCTGAACAGGACGGATTCTCCAATCGTCTGAAAAAGGCTGACTTCTCGCTTCCAGCAGCGATAAAGGAGATCCCACATGGAGAACCTGTGTTGCGCATTTGCTCACTGTCAGACAGCACACTCATAACAGCCAGAGAAGATGGAAATATTTCCTTCTGGTCACCAGAGCTCAAGCTAAAACGAAGCAAGATAGTTTTTGTACGTCATTGTTTTTTCTGCAAGATATTTCAATATTGTTTATTCTTTAGGGGTGAGTCTACACCAGGGGTCCTCAAACTAAGGCCTGGGGGCCGGATACGCCCCTCCAAGGTCATTTACCCGCTCAGGGTCAATCTAAGTCTAAAATGACTTGAAAGCACACAACAACAACAACAACAACAACAACAACAACAACAATCCTATCTCATCAGCCAAAAGCAGGCCCACACTTCCCATTGAAATACTAATAAATTTATATTTGTTAAAATTATTCTTCATTTTAATTATTGTATTGTTTTTAAGTGGGTTTTTTGCACTACAAATAAGATATGTACAATGTGCATGGGAATTAATTCATTTTTTCCCCCAAATTATAATCTTGCCCTCCAACAGTATGTGGGACTGTGACCTGGCCCTCTGTTTAAAATGTTTGAGGACCCTGGTCTACACGATAGAATGAATGCAGTTTGACAGCACTTTATTTGCTATGGCTCAATGCTATGAAATCCTGGGATTTGCAGTTTGGTGAGGCATCTCCACAAGTTGGCAGAGAAGGCTATAGACCAGTGGTTCTCAACCTGGGGTCCCCAGATGTTTTTGGCCTTCAACTCCAAGAAATCCAAACAGCTGGTAAACTGGCAGGGATTTCTGGGAGTTGTAGGCCAAAAACATCTGGGGACTCCAGGTTGAGAACCACTGCTATAGACCTTCCATGATTCCATAGCCTTGAGCCATGGCTGTTGAACTAGTCTCAAACTGCATTAATTCTATAATATCGATGCACCCTAGGTTCTATGCAAACTGAGATTTCAAAAGATCTTCTTGCTTTCTCAATAATGAATATCTGTGGTTTAAATATTCCCAGTTAGGACAGACCCACTATGTCAATGGAGTAAACAAGTGTGTTTACTTACCAAACTTCCTTGAATGCAATGTTTCTATTTTAATTGAGGTTTGAAAATTGGATTTAGGTTTATGGCGTCATTCATTAGGATAGTGATGAGAAACATGAATTCTCCTAAACTCCTCTGTTACTAAAAATGTTTTCATAGCACACAATTCACTGCCATGATTGCAACTATTTTGGCTGTATCTACAGTGAAGAGTAGAGACATCAGACTGACAACAAAGATCCGCCTAGTCAAAGCCATGGTATTCCCTGTAGTCACCTACGGATGTGAGAGCTGGACCTTAGGGAAGGCTGAGCGAAGGAAGATCGATGCTTTTGAACTGTGGTGTTGGAGGAAAGTGCTGAGAGTGCCTTGGACTGCGAGAAGATCCAACCAGTCCATCCTCCAGGAAATAAAGCCCGACTGCTCATTGGAGGGAAAGATACTAGAGACAAAGTTGAAGTACTTTGGCCACATCATGAGGAGACAGGAAAGCCTAGAGAAGACAATTATGCTGGGGAAAGTGGAAGGCAAAAGGAAGAGGGGCCGACCAAGGGCAAGATGGATGGATGGCATCCTTGAAGTGACTGGACTGACCTTGAGGGAGCTGGGGGTGGTAACGGCCGACAGGGAGCTCTGGCGTGGGCTGGTCCATGAGGTCACGAAGAGTCGGAGACGACTGAACGAATGAACAACAACAACAACAGTGTCATATAATGCAGTTCGGAACTGTGTTATATGGCAGTGTAAATCTAGCTATAGAGATATTTTATCTCTATGTGTGTGAGTGAGGTTGTGTTCTTTTCCTCCCCTTCTTTCCCCTCCCTCTCTCCCTTTTCACCCCCTTTCCTACCTTTCTATCCTAGCGCAATTGTTCCACCACTTTTTATGTAATCTATATAACCACAATAAAAACAATTTTTTAAAAAGAGATATTTTATTCCAAATATTTTACCCTTCCGAGATAGTTGTATTTGTGAAAATTGTTTCATATATTACCATAAAAACCTCTTCCCCATCCAGCTCTCCCTTTCCTTCTCTCTCCTTCCTTAATAGTTGGCCCCAAATTGCTTTTTAAGCTTTGTTTTGAAAAGCTGATCATATTAATTATTCTATCATTTGTAATTCTAGAATGACAACCAGTAATTTACTTTTGCTATTTTTAAGGATAAAAGTCACAGAAAATCCAAATGGCTGATGGATTTCACTGTCATGGTTCCATACAATAAATTAATACTGGCAACTGGGTAAGTTTCTCATATACAGTAACAAAAATAAAAGCTTTTTGTCAAGATTTCTTTTATTCACAACTTCACGGAGAAAAGTTCCATTATGAAATAGTTTGGAAACCTCGATGGAATTTGAGAGACAGAATGATGACAAATTTGCCGATGTATAACAGGATCAGTACAAAGTACTCTTTAATCCAGCATTTTGACATCTTATCTTGGAGTTCGTATGCAGGTAATAGTAAGCCATTCTTCACCATGTCCCCCATAATCTGACTAATTCACAACCCCACAGAGTGCATAATAAATGCAGTTTGGCATTGACTGCCATGGCTCAATGCTATGGAATTTTCAAAGTTGTAGCTTTACAAGATCTTTAGCTTTATCTGCCCAAAAGTGCTGGTGCCTCACCAAACTATAACTCCCACAATTCCATACCATCAAGTAATTGCCATTGAAGTGGTATTAAACTGCATTTTTTCTCCAGTTAAATACACCCAAAGAGAAGCAAATTCTGTAGGTTAGTGCTATTGTTTGTCTGTCCTGAATTCCTCACCAATCACTGTCATTGGATAACTCAAGATCCCATGATTTTGACAAAAAGACAATCCCCCCCCCCCCCGCATGTCTTGCACTGCTAGGTGCATTCTTAATATATCATGTTACGCAAGTATTTTTTGACTTTCTACCATTCCAAATGTTGCAGCTCTTCCTAGTACATTAGGAATAACTTCCTAACTGTCAGAGCTGTTCAGCAGTGGCACTCTCTGCCCCGGACTGTGGAGGAGGCTTTTAACCAGAGGCTGGATGGTCATCTGTCAGGGGTACTTTGCGATTTTCCTGCTTCTTGACAGGGGGTTGGACTGGATGGCCCACAAGGTCTCTTCCAACTCTATGATTCTATGATATGATTGGTTGTAAAAAAATTAACTCTTCCATAATTATTACACTCAGGTGTTCAAACTGTTATGGGAAATTTATGCGTGCAGCCATGATGATCAAATATATCACATTTTAAATTTGTTTCAGGGATCGTGAACTTCAGCTATATGAAAGTTCCAACTTTGAGCCATACCTTCAGATTAGTAGTTTGGAGGCAATACCTTTGAATGTGGATTACTGGTAAGCCATTCCAGTATGGCATCTTGAGTCAGTAACTATAACACACTTTTGTATTTGTCAATACATGTATTATTAGACATTATTCATTTCCTAACACTCAGAAAAATCTGCTTTGAAACCTGACAAGGCGAAACTTTTAGACCAGAGCTTTCCAAACATTTCATGTTGGTGGCACAGTTTTTAGACACACATCATTTCGTGACACAGTAATTCAGCTTTAAAGCCAAACAGGAGGTTAAACCAAGCCCTTATAAGAGATACAGACATATACATAAAATTGTAACAATGAAATCTATGGAAACACAACATATCTTATGAAAGCCTTTCATTTATATTTTAATATATTATTTGTAAGATAATAACATGCATTCCCAAAATATTTGTCATTTCTCATTAAGTTTATATGACACACCTATATATTGCAGCTGACACAATAATGTAGCATGACCCACAGTTTGGAAAGCTCTGATTTAGATATGTATGTACAGATTTTTGTTCATCAGAAAAGCTGTTATATTACTTTGGAAGAAAACAGTGACTTTTAGGAAAGCATAACTTCTTTGCTCTTTCTCTCCTTTCACCTCCAATTCAGCTACACAGGTCATGATGAATGTATAATCCTTTATGGTGATGACCAGGTATGTGCTTCAAAACTACAAAAATGTATAGGCATGGGAGCAAAACCACACTTTCCAGTATCTGACAGAAGAAAACTGGGACACACATGGCTAAGATGTCAAAAGATGCAAAATAAGGAAAAATGCACAAGCTGGGAGAGGCTTTGTTTTTTTCCTGAACCTACTGGGAAAGGTAAAAATTCACCTCATCTATCCCCAGTTGAGTGAAACCAAAGTTGGCCCTCTACATTTACAGGTTTAACTTTTATAGATTTGATTATTTATTAATTTGATTAAGAAGTTCCCTCTAAGTCTTGCAGCACAATTCTATGATCAACTTCCAGCACAAATTAAGTGTAGAGTCATGCTGGAGTACCAAGAGATTTGCAGACATGAGTTCTCTTGGGTAAAAAAATAGCATTTGCATTCACAATTTTTCCACTTGCACAAGTGCCCTGTGCCTCTTGTCCTACAAAAGTGGAGGGCTTACTGTACTTATAAAATTTGAACCCTGGTTGCAACAATGGAAGTAAACTGAGGAAATGCTGGAAAAGTGAAAGGGAAGCTGGGACATATTAAAAATAGCTGAAAAGTGGCATGATCGAGAATTTATCACCTGGAGTGAAAAGAAAACAAACCCAGAAGTTGCAGCTCTTTTTTTTTTTACTCCATAACTACATTTGGAACAAACAATATCATTAACTTCCCATCAAAGGAGCATGGGTTAAATTTTATTCAGAAAGGAATTTGGAACTATCTTTGATGTACAAGGAGCTGGTAACTGGGTTGTTTTGAGATTTTCTTTCATTGGTGTATTTTAAACTGTATTTATATGCTTTAATTTGTTTTAAACTTTAGTTATAACCAAGAATCCACCCACTTTGCATTTGCATTGTGTTTCGGGCTGAAAGGTGGAATAAACTCCACTTAATATATTAAAAGTGAAATAATAATAATAATAATAATAATAATAATAATAATAATAATAATAATAGTCGTATCCCACCACCATCTTCCTGAAGGGACTCGGGGCGGCTTACACATGTCACAAAGTGCCTAAAAAACAGAACAAAAATAAACATCATATAAAATACAATTGAATAAAACATATAGGCATATAAGACAACAACTTAAGACTCAGTCAAAACAGTGCTCATCAACCAATGGTGGTAAGCTAGTGTAAACGTGGCCAGGCTTTAAACAATAGGACAAGGGGATGAGATAAGTGCAAAGCTGTAACCATGAGTGGAGGGCATAGGATGAATGCAAGGCTTCATAACTAATTTAAAAACCCAACTTTGAAAAAAAAGAAAAGCTAATGTATTTAGTACAGAACCAGTGGTGTTGGGTCTCCAAAACATGTGTCAGATAGTAATACAGCTTCTCCATTTTCTTCTTTGTCTGTCTGTGTCTTTGTTATTTTAGGGGTGTGTGAATATCTTGCTCCTGTTTTCTGTAGGTGAGATCCTAAGGCAAGTACTTATGTTTTAAAATTGAAGGTAAATATAAACATTCAGTTAATGCTTCCAAATCGTTTCTGGCAAGGATTTGTGGTATACTTTCAGATTTCAAATTTCTTAAGTACAGGTAATAATAATTACCAACCTAGAAGACAAACAAGAACGAATTTGTAGAAAAATATTCTCCTTGTCATGAAGGTTTCATCGTTGGGTAAGATGTTGGTGGTTGTACAGAACAGACTAGGACCAGAAGATTTTTAATTAAGAAGACTAATGTCTGCAATTCAGTTGTTTGCTTTACCACATAAGAGAGCTGCGGACAACTTTTGATACATTGTTTTGTATTACGCTTGCTGATGAGAACTACAGGATGCCCAGTGTCATACTTCATTAGAATCAAAAATTAAAATTAAAACAGAGGAATCAAAGTGTCAGTTGGAGATCTCTGGCAATACTTCCTAGTAGGTTTGTAGGTCACCTATTTCATCCTAACATGCAGTGACTAGTAGTTTCCACAACTGTATCCCCATTTGGAAGAAAATGAAAATTGTTGTCCAATTCGCTTCGTATTTGCACATGGTGAAGTATTCTAGGGGAATGCATGGCTCAAAAATGCATGGACTTTACACGGATAATGTTCTTTATGTGCAGGAAATACTTTTTGTGCACCAAAATACTTTCCTGCACCAAAATACTCAAGTTTCCTGTGCAGTGAGCATATTTTCTATGCAAAATATGTGAGGAATTTTGCAGAAAAATCACGCGATTTTCTGGACAAAATACATTCTCAGAATACGTTTCAATAGGAGAAAACTGAACAAAATTATCAGTGCAGTATTGTTCTTCATGGCTGAGTTTCTTAAGTAATAGGAAAGCCTTTCCTTGGTTAGGAAACAAAAAAAAAACAATTAATATTCTTTCAATCCCTCCTATCAAGCCTGCCTCATAAATTTAAAGCCACATGTTATTACTTTGCTTTGCATGGAGGTTGCTGTTGGCTTAACTTTTAAAAATGATATTACCAGTTACTGTCAAGTTTGTCATTAATATATGAAAATCCAAGCACACAAGGAGTCTCTTGCGTAGTATAAATACTTGGTATAAATACTGTATACCAAGGTTTCAAATGAAAAAGCAATAATGGGTTGGGCACACATAGCCATATTAAAAATTTGATAACTGATTCACTTTCCAAAATATAATTATGTAATTATCTTCCCTGTGTTTGTTTCAGAACTTGGAAGAAGCTGCCCAAATGGGAAAACCTTCCTAACATTAGTCTTCAGAATGCTGCTCTTTCGCCAAATGTCACTTATGTCCGTTGGAAAGTTCATGGAGATTGGATTACTCAGGTAAACAGGAAAGCTATTACAAGAGACTGTAATATTTAGCTTCTCTACATTAGATTCAGATGTAGTACTTACAGTACGAAATAATCAGCATAGTACAATTGCTCCTGAACTCAACATAGAGTTGCCTGGTTTTGAAGCATCCCTCTGGGACTGGCTGTGAACACATGAAGCAGATCCCATATTTTGAAAGTGCAGAGCTTCTAGTGATACATCCAGGTTCCTGTGAGAACTCCAAGCCCCAACCATATGAATATCTTGCAATGGCTGCTGCCCATCGTGAGATCAGGAGTTTTTTACCATTGACAACCAGAGAGGAGGAAGAGCTAAGCTCTTAAACAGTCTGACTCCTGCAGCATGTGATATGTTATCTGAGGCCATTGCGTTTCATAGCCAATCTGCAGGGGTTGGTTTGTTGCGAGTACAATTCATTCAGGTATTTGGTACAGTTCGTATGACCCCATATAGACCCAGTATCTAAGCCTGCCAATACAGGACACCCCATATGAAATGAGACACTTGGGAACACTAACCGAAGGAATTCATGTTTTGCTTCAGATCCCACAAGGTTTTCATGTGCTGTAAATTTAGTTTACCACTATATACAGGGGCGGCTCAACCCATTACGCAAAGTAAGCATTTGCAGTATAGTTGATTTTGCCCTGAGGCGCTCTTGAGGCACTCTTGGGGGAAAATAGACCTTGACATATGCGAGTTGTAGTTATTGGGATGTATAGTTCACCTACAATCAAAGAGCATTTTGAACTCCACCAATGATGGAATTGAACCAAATATGGCACACAGAACTCCCACGACGAACAGAAAATATATATCAGTGATTGGTGGGGGGGGGGGGGGCGCCAAAATACTGTTTGCTTACCGTTGAAAATTACCTAGGGCCGCCTCTGACTATATAAGATGAAAACATCTACATCTATGCTGTAGAATTAATGCAGTTTAAGATGCCGTGGTCTGATGCTATCGAATCATGGAAGTTGTAGTTTTACAGATTCTTTAGTTTCTCTACCAAAGAGTACTGGTGCCTCAACAAATTACAACTCTCATGATCCCATAGTATTGAGCCATGGCAGTTTAAACTGGTCTCAGATCACATTCATTCTCTAGTTTAAATGCACCCTTACCCATTTGACACTACAGACTGATGTTTCCATTCTGTATACAATTTGGATAGTCTTAGAATGTCATAAGAATGTCTGAAATAGGCTTTGGTTGTGTTCACACATAATGATGAGCCACATGTTGTGTTTGGTTTATTCCTCTGGCTTCTGGAAAAATGGGTTAGCCAGTTCATTGGGAGTTGTTGTGGTGCAATGGCTTAAGTCCTTGCGCTAGCTGAATTTCTGAACTGAAGGTCGGTGGTTCAAATCAGTGAGATGGAATGAGCTCCCATCTGTCAGCCCCAGCTTCCCATGTGGGGACATGAGAGAAGCCTCCTACAGGATGTTAATGCATCCAAGAGTCCCTTGGGCAACATCTTTGCAGATAGTCAATTCCCTCACACCAGAAGCAACTTACAGTTTCTCAAGTCGCTTCTGACGCAATAAAAAAACCTGTTCATTGACTCTGAACAGCACAATAAATAAATCATGGCTCAAATAATATCTGATCCAAAGAATTGTGGCTTCTTATTGTATTTACAAGAATATGTAGTCTTCACTTGTGCTTTCAATGTACAGTATTGATCCTCTGAAATATATATGGAATTGCCACTGTAGATATTTGGTGAGCTTTTTAGTCTCTAAAATAGCACAATAAATCAAATATATCTATAGCTATAGTTCATGCAACCAATTTTGTAGTGTTCCTTGCAGCTCAAAAAAGAAAAAAAGAGGAATATGTAAATCTGAGTTTCACTCAAGTTCATGTACATATAATTAATTAAATGATGACTTAATTAGTTGGTTACCAAAACCAACTAAGTCCACATTAGTCTTGATCACAAATATGTTTTCCTGAACTTGGAAAAAGATAGGTATTTGTATATTCAGGTCCCTTGTCTCCCTCTTCAGATTTAACAGTAATCTATTATTGTTCAATAAAAGCATGTTTGTATATAGATTGTGAAGGTTTATTGTGTAACTTTAAAACCCACTTGTGTTTTAATTAAGATACTGAATGAGACTGTCACTCCATGAAGCCAAGAAAGGATCAAAACAATCTCAACAGCTTACATTTTGCATTAAGACTCTGTAGCATTTGGGGAAAAATATATTATTATCACTCTCTCTTTTTCAGCTGAATTACTACGATTCTTTTAAAGCAGTGATTTCTTCTTCAAGCCATGAACCCACAGCATTAGTAATAGGTAATTATTATATTACTACTTGGAAATTCAAGAGATTGTGTATATTTGCGTTATTTGCTGGGTTTTATACAATTTTTCTTCCTGGGTTGTAACCACATTTTAGCATCTCAGTTGATCAGCTTAACAACTGTCAGAAAGGTTTAAACTGGGTGATTTACCCCTTCTCCCCGTTACCTCTCCAGGCAAAGCTTTCTGCATAGGAATGGAGATATCATTTTATGAGGCCATCAGAGGTAAAATAATGAGATTCCGTGTCAAAGAATGAGTAATACAAGCAATATTTTGTTTGCTGGGCTGTTTTGTGCACCAGTTTACTAATGTTTCTAGGGAAAATGGAGCTTCTGTCTCCATTGCTATGTATCTACATAAGGATTCCAAAACAAAGGATGGCAAACAAAATAGAAGACAAACTCCATGGCAGTGCAGCATGGTGAAATTAAAGGTGTCTGTTATGTTGTATTATGCAGTGATATCCTGTGATAAAGAGCAGCAGCACAGCCCTTAAAGGGTTCAGGCGATTCCTTGGCTATCTAAAATATAGGTCTTTGGTATTATCTATGCAAGTGAAAAACCTCTGTGAGAAAAAACACTGCGCAAGCTAACTCAGCAGCAGAGTAGCAAAGCACAAGGGCAGATATCTTCACTGTGTCTGGTTGTGATCCCCAGGCTGTGCTAGTCAGCTTTTGTATGATGTTATTTCTAGCACCCACTTTTTGCTTGACATTCAAACAGTGCTTCCTATAAGTCAGAGCACGGTCCAGAGTAACTCCCAGGTATTTGGGTATTCTGCAATGCTCTAGTAGGATTCTTTCCCAGGTAACCCTCAGAGCTCGAGATGCTTGTCTGTTCTTAAGATGAAAAGCACACGTCTGCATTTTAGATGGATTAGGAATCAGCTGGTTTTCCCTGTTATAGGCAGTAAGAGCATCTAAAGCTTTGGATAGTTTCTGTTCAAAGCGCCCTTCTTGAGTGGTGATGGCATGATCATCAGCATAGATGAAACTCTCTGTCCTATCTGGCAGTGGCTGATCATTTGTGTAAATGTTAAACATTGATGGAGCAAGCATGCTTCCCTGAGGCAGGCTGTTCTGTTTTTGTATAGTAGTGTTGCAGTACCCTTGAGGCCTAAAAGTGATTTATCTTCCACAGGTTGTGTTGTGGGAGCTACCAATGTGGAGCAACAGATGAAAGAAATCAAAGAACAGCAGAAAGATTCCAAAACCAGGAAAGTGCAGGCGATTCTAGGAGCCCCTTCCCATAGAGCTGAAGGAGGCCAGATTGTTTTTCGAATCCACAAAGGAGTGAAAACATTTGCATTCAGTAAAAAAAACAACCTCATAGTAACTGGTGGGATGGATCGAATTGTTCGGATGTGGAATCCATATGTGCCAGGGTAAGCTGCTGTTACAACTAATCTTTGAACACTGTTGCAGATATTAGGAAAACCCATAAATATTTACAAAGTGACTTATTCAGCCAGAAAAAAATTGTTGTTTTATGATGTTGAAGAAATGTATCTTGTATTGTATTGTGTGTTTACTATACATTGTTTTAGGCACATTGTGCCATGTATAAGCCACTCCGAGTCCCTTCGGGAAAATGGAGGCAGAGTACAGTAATAAAGTTGTTATCATCGTCGTCGTCGTCGTCATCATCATCATCATCATCATCATCATCATCATCATCTTTAACCCATAGATAAATTAAGCCCCCTTTAAAATCAATCTGTATCCTCAACATTTTTTCTCATCTTTGGATTTTCAGAACGGTCCTAAATTGAGATGTTAGTCTGAAAATCCATGTTTTCTCTTTAAAAACAAGATGGAGTTCTGCCGATGAATGTGTGCTTGGTACATTGTGGTGCAATAAGGAGATATGGGGATTAAATGATCATCTGGATTCCTTGTCCTAATTTCTAAGAATCCATGGTTTTGCCCGAAGTATTAGTCCTTTTTAGTGCGGAAACTGATAGGAGCAGCTGGAATAACGTTCCTTTGAGCTGTATAGTTCTTCAAACTTCACTGTTACTCCATCTTAGAGGAAGACATCTGTGTACAATGCCAATTCCCCATATACATAATCCTTATCAGCATCAAACATTGCTATAGATTAGTTGACAGTAATGTTGTTTGAAGCCATATGGTGTCCTCTGCTTTATATTTTTTTAAAAACAGAGATGTGGAGACAAGAACAGAAGAACCATGTTGTGCTTCCTCAGCCTTGTCTCCCACTATTACAGCCTTCACTCATACATGCTTTTAAAAAATGATGATATCAACATTTTAGTAAAGCCAGCGATGACTCACTTCTGTATTTGATTTCCTTACTTGTTTGAAGCTGCTTAGTGTTTACTCTTCTGATCAAATTCCAGAAGGCCGACTGGCATGCTCAGAAGCCACATGGCTCCCATTGTCTACGTCTGCGTCTCTGAAGAGGATAAAATATTTTCCGTCTCGACAGACAACACAATTAAGGTCTGTCTGGCTTTTGCATGTGCTGACTGAGTTCTGCTTGCCACATCTCCATTGCTTTCTGTTTAATATGTCGTAATCCTTTCCTTGCAGATATGGGATGTTGAAGACCAGACTTGCATATTCACAGCATGTTCAAAAAACAACGGAATATATGGAGAGATTAGTGCTTGCCATTACATTCCAGGCACAAGGACACTCTGTGTGGCTACAGATATACTGGCTGTCCTCCAACTAAGATTACGGTAAAAAAAAAAAAAAGGGGGGGGGGCTACTCGTGATCTGTATTCCAGAAAAAGCAGCTAACCTTAGAAATTACAGGTGGAATTCTTGGGCTTATGAAAAAGGCACAATGCATATTTTCTGGCCCAGCTGCATCAAAAAAAAAAAAAAGGAGTACTTGGGACTTTATTACGCAGAGGAGCAAACCAACACAGAGGAGACAAACCAACACCTATACGGTTCCGGCCCAGCATACCTGTCCGAACGTATCTCCTTCTATGTCCCACTTAGGAATCTTTTGGAGAGGCCCCTTCTACACAGCCATATATCCTAGAATATCAAGGCAGAAAAATCCCACAATATCTGCTTTGGACTGGGTTATCTGAGTCCACACTGCCATATATCCCAGTTCAAAGCAGATTAATGTGGGATTTTTTTCCAGCTGTGTGGAAGGAGCCTAAATGGTAGTATTTAAAAAACTTGTTGCTTGTAAGTATCGTATTAATTGTTAAGAATGCTAAACCAGTCATAATATAGTTGACTGGTAAAATACACGACATAACTCTTTGTATGTTTAATAGTTGTGGAAAAGAGAGAATTTCAGCAGGTTATTATCAGTGAGAAATCTCCTCTTCTATACAACTATATGAGGTACAAGTTCAGAAGCTCTATTCCTTATCTCACTTAGTAGTCACCATGTGCAAAAAGACATTGTAGTAAAATTCAGCTCTTATGCATGTTGATAGTGCAATAATTTCTATTGTTTCTCTTTTCTACAAAACAGATTACCACTTGACCCTTGTTTGGCCATTTCTCACAAGAAACCAGTATTGTGTTGTAAGTTCAACAAAGTGTTCCGGCATGTTGTGAGTGGCTCAGAGGACTCTGTAAGTGAAGCAATGGTGTATAAAGTGCTCCTTCTTGTTTACCGTGTTTGTCTTTATATTACTAATAAGGTTATTTAAAGAAGGGGGGAAGGCGAATCCGGGCTTCAAGCTTCAGAGAAAAGGATGAAAAACTAGGATCAATTCTATAACGTGGTTTTATTTTAAAATAAATAACAAAATAATAAAATAACTTTATTCCCAGCACCATCTCCCCGAAGGGATGTGGGGTGGCTTACATGGGACCAAATGTCCATAAGACAATGAACAAACAATCATAGAATCATCGAGTTGGAAGAGACTTTGCGGTCCATCCAGTCCAAACCCCTGCCAAGAAGCAGGAAAATCTCATTCAAAGCACAAATGGTCACCCAGACTCTGTTTAAAAGCCTCCCAAGAAGGAGCCTCCACCACAGTCTGGGGCAGAGAGTTTCACTGCTGAATGGGTCTCATAGTTGGGAAGTTCTTCCTAATGTTCAGATGGAATCTCCTTTCCTGTAGTTCAATAGTTCCCAACCTCTTTTTGATTAGGGCCCACTTGACCAGGGTCCCCTTTGACCAGGACCCACTTTGACCAAGGCCCACTTTAACCAGGGTCCATTTTGACCAGGGACCACTTGGATCAGGGACCACTTGGACCAGGGACCACTCTCCAACATTAGTACCAGAATGGGCGAGGCTGGTCAACTCTGTGGAAAGAAGCAGAAATAAAATAAATAAATATAGAGGAAGAAGGTTTGTGGACCAGATTTTCGTTCTCGCGGTTCATTGCTGGGCCATGGCCCACAAGTTGAGAACCACTGCTGTAGTTTGAAGCCATCAAACAAAAACATAATTTAAATAAGAACATAATAAAAAGCAGCTCTGTAACTTTAATAGTTGTATGGAGAGGAAACACCATTAGGTGTTGGTTGTCATGTAAGCAATACCTGCTGAAATTTCCTTTCCTGCGTAACCTTTTCCATATTTTGCCCTGGACCTTAGTGCACAATTAACCATAACTTTTGTTTCAGACACAGATCTTTGGATGCTGGCCAAATATAATTTTATGTGCATCTGTTTTTGCAGGTGGTCAAGGTGTGGGATCTCGATAGTGGGAAGCTCTTGTTTGAATTTAGCAATGCACATAATGGTAATGCAGTCACTTGCCTCACCTTTGATCCAAGTGGAAGGAGGTATGTTTTTTTTAAAATAAATACACCTTTTGAAATGTTTTGTATACATGTTTGGGGTGGATGATTCCCCTCCCTCACCCTTTCAGGAGGAATAGCTATGTATTACTTAATTGCCTTCTAGACTAATTACGGGAGGAAGAGATGGTTGTCTGAAAATATGGAATTACAACAATGGACAATGTTTGAAGAGTTTGAAAAGGGGTAAGAAAGCAACCTGCTAGCAAATGAATTTGCAAACCAATGTAAAATTTCTAGTTTTCATATCTTTCAATTATCCCACATTTCTCTTCCTTGTAGAAGGCAAATGCAATGAAATCTGTGACTGTGCCTATGTGGAGGCGAATAGAAGCAAGTAAGTAACCCACCACCATAAATATACCTTGCTATGAGTCCAATATGAATATTAGATCTGGCTAGCAGTAAGGGCTTCCCCATTATAAGCATGTTTATGAACTTTCCTGGAGCCCCCAGTGAAGCATCGGGTTAAGCTGCTGAGCTGCTGAATTTGCTGACCAAAAGGCTGGCGGTTTGAATCTGGGGAGCTGGGTGAGCTTCCGCTGTTAGCCTGAGCTTCTGCCAGCATGACTGCTTGGAGCGCCGTTACCTTCCCACAGAAGCGGTACCTATTGACCTACTCAAATTTGCATGTTTTCAAACTGCTAGGTTGGCAGAAGCTGGGCCTAACAGTGGAAGTTCACCCGACTCCCCAGATTCCCCAGGTCAGCAAGTTCAGCAACTCAGTGGTTTAACCCGCTGTGCCACCAGGGGGTCCAATAACTAGAAATGCAGAAATTGGTAGATAAATCTTTTAGTGACATGGAGATGCTAGTCACTGTATTTAACTGATGCAGATAAAACTCATGCTTTCAGCAATATTAAAATCACTTGCGCTCATAATACTGGTTAATGCCTTATCCAATACTTAATTATTAATTGTTTTCCCAGCTATGTCATAGCTGTTGGATGGGACCGAAGGATAAACCTGTTCTATGTAAGTAACACAATTATGTAACTCAGTTGCATGGAATAGAATTATTCTACTATTAATTAATTAAAGGTATTTAGTATTGCATCATACCACTCATACCCTTGGTCGTGAGGTAAAATAGCTTCTTAGCCACTCTTAAATTTTGGTTTTGCCTTTTGATTTTGTGCTTTCAGTTTTAAGCCTCCTGAATCCATTGGATTGTGACTAGTAGGTAACTGAGCGGTATACTGATCTCAGCAAATTGATGGCCAACATGTACCCGGGAGAGCATAAGAAGTGAGCTGGTTCAGACCAAAGGCCCATTTAGTCTATTGTTTGGGTTTCATAATGACTCATGGAAAGCCCATAATCCTGCACCTTCCTCTTGGGTCCATCAGTTATAGCATCAGCATTTTGCACTTGGACTCCTTTGTGCTTCCAGCAGAAGAAACAACTACATTTACTGTTTTAAATCCACTTCTTCTGCGCACAGCACACACTCAACATCATACTAATTATGCCCTTATGTTAGCTAAGTAGTAGTGGATTAATGGGAGTCATTTTGTGCAGTGATTCTACACAAAGTTAGAAAAACAAACCCATTAACTCCCAAATCGATCATATATGCACCCACTGAACAATGGGGCCAAATCCAACAGTCTGTCATCCCATATCTGCAAGTATAGGATTACTACATATTCAAGTATCAGTCCAAAACCATGAATTGCCATGCTAGACTGGCTCCCTTTTACTTGTGGAAAGATGATATGCCTATTTTACATTGTATTATTTGGATATCTGTTTTTTGCAGGATTCCACAGACAGTCTCCAACACTTTCAGAAGCCTCAACCCCATTGGCAGGATGATCTAGTAAGACTTATTGTCAGCCTGGTTAAAATATAAAGTGTTCTGTATACTTTGAAAATAGAGATGTTGGAAACAAGACATGGTGTTAAAAGTGTGGATATTATTTCAGAAAGACTCAGTCTCCCAAGATATATAAGAAAATGTTAGTTGACATCTAAAGGTGACTATGAAACATGCCCAAGTCAACTGTAGCTTACCATAAAGTATAGTTCGATGGTACAGTTAGCCAAGAAACAAAGATCCATACTTCATTTTGACACGTGAAAATAGTCTTCTGTTTATATGAATCTTTTAAAAAATGTATATTAGATCCCATAGATATTTTTAAACAGTATGCCCGAAGCTAGTCATCTAGCTAGATACAGATATACACAAATGCGTGTCATTAACCTTATCCTAGAAGGAAAATACAATAATGTAATGTTTTTGAGTTTTCTGTTAGTTTTATTGAACTTCAGAAAATATTCCTGTATGTATTTATGTCTTATATGTTTACTTTCTCCAATGACAGAGTTTAGAAGCCTTGTACATTCTTAGTGGCAAAGATTGGACCACCCAAAGTGACCACTTTATCTACTGTGTTGTAGGTTTTGCCATAGGGATGTGTATAGCAGCCATACTTTCAATTTAGGCCTTGTGGCCACAGTTCACTTTTGCAAGGTGCCAGTTGGCAAGGCATGAGCTACCCGTTCAGCTGTGCTCTTGCTCTAAAACAAAAGAAAGGTGTGATCTGCACACAGTGCTTCTAGTGAAATGGCAGGGAGAAGGTTTCAAGAAAAGAAACAAAGAGAAGTCCAGAGGTCTCAAAAGCATGGATTTTATTTCCAGCTGGGGCCCTGGAGTGGACTTGCGTCCAAAAGCAAAGCAGAGCAATGAAATAGGCGTTGACTGTGCCTTTTATAGATTCCAAATGCAAGCAAACAAAGAACATACATCTACATACATTGACCTCATTCACTGCGTCATCTTAGCATCAAATTCTATCTTTCAACATGCAAAAAGTATGTCTCTGTGTATTCCTAGGAGCAGCTTGCATCCATCAGTCAAGAGGCCCACTTTGAGTTGTCAGGAGGGAGGGGGGATTAGCTCCTTCCTTAGAAGGAAGACACTGGGCTCTGTTGCTTCTAGGACGGGCTTATCTCCTGGAATGTATAGATAACATGCCCCCCTTCTCCTCCCTCCTGCCATGCCTTGGACACAGATCTCCTTCAGCATTCTTTCTAATACAGAGAGAACTTGATTTTTCTATACATTTAAAGTACATACAATATATAAATCAATAAATCAATATCTATTTTTCCAATATCTCCTCATCACTAGAACCTCTTTCTCTTCTGATCCAGAAAAGAGGACACAAGGAAGATATTCTGTGTATTGCAAAGTGCCCACCCACCTTCCTTGCCACCTCCAGTTATGATGGGGAAATCATTGTTTGGAATATGATGTCAGGTCACATATGCCATAGATTCTGCACACCAGAGCCTGTTGACACCAAAAGTAAGTTTAATGAGAATGGTTGGTGATAGTCCTGAGACTGGGATAAATTTTCAATGAATAATTGCAGATGGAATTGGGTAGAAATGGAAACCCTTGGGAAGACCGGATAATGAAGTCCATCCCAATTTATTTTAGCATTTGAATAGGGCTGGTATGATTAAGATATTCTACAGATATATTTTTCATTCAAAGGCATCATGACTTTAACCTAATATTGCGTTTGTTTTAAACTTTGTACATATAAGTGGTCACCTCCCAAATTACAAATGGGAAGCACACTACACAGACCCTTATATCCTAACATTAACGCTATTTTTCCAATTAATCAATTTCAAGTCTTATGAATAGATTGTGTAAAGGCTCGTGAAAATAAGTATTTGGTTTCTAGCCTAAATTTAGGATTAGATAATGGTTTTCCCCTGACATTAACTCCAGTTGTGTCCAACTCGGGTGTGGTGCTCATCTCCATTTCTAAGCCGAAGAGCCGGCATTGTCCGTAGACACCTCTAATATCATGTGGCCGGCATGACTGCATGGAGCGCCGCTGCCTTCTCGTCCGAGCAGTACCTATTGGTCAACTCACATTCGCATTTTTTCAAACTGCTAGGTTGGCTGAAGCTGGGACTAGCAGCAGGAGCTCACACCACTCCCCAAATTCGAACCTGCAACCTTTTGGTCAGCAAATTCAGCAGCTCAGCACTTTAACCCACTGCGTCACCAGGGCTCCAAAAACTTTTAAGATTAAGGACTTCAAAATAACATTTTTACTTCACTGGTATGCTAGTTCTATTTGAGCTGCTATAGCAGAAACAGTTCTTGGATAGACTACAGCAGGCATGGGCAAACTAAGGCCAGGGGTTGGATGAGGCCCCCTGGGCACTTACCTTAGGCCCTCCTCATTTTCCCTGTCCTCTTGGCATAAGGACACAGTGGCCCACCACCTCCTTATGCCAAAAAGATGAGGGAGGAAGTCATGCAGCAGCTTTGTGTGATGAAGTCCAAAGATTTTACATTGATGATAAACATATTTTCCTCCATCCATTTTAAAACTGGCATATAGCAATGCACTTTTAATGTATTTTTTAAAGAAACAACGACTTGGGAATTTAGAGGCTAAAACTCATGGAAAACAGCAATTAAATTTAAGCATTGGTATTCAGTACTTGCAGGAAGTTTAGAACTCTTTAACATTTAATGGACCTTTTTCTTTTTCTGTATAGCTCTTTAAAATTTAAGAATGCTTGCTTTCAAATGACTGAATAGTTTGTTTTTACTCTTCTCACCTGTAGATGGAAGTGTCACTCGAGTAATCTTCCTAAAGACGCGTGCTGTGAAATTTGAATCGGCCTCTGCCTCTCTTGTTTCTAATGGACCACAAGGTAGGATAACCTGCTGCAATGCTAGGCAACAATTGGCAGAACAGTCCGATGAAGCGAAGGGCAGAGCAAAGGAGCAGACACGCCACGGTGTTTAGACTTAGAAGTGGCAGGAGACTGAGATAGTTGTTTTCCTCCCTGAAAACCTATGTCCAATATCAGCCTATCTGCATTTTTTAAATTCTTCCTTACCCACCCAACCCAAGGGTCTGTGTGGTGGTGGTATTTCCCCTTGACATTAAGTTTAATTGTGTCCGCCTCTGGGGGGTGGTGCTCATCTCCATTTCTAAGCCAAGGTCATGCGGCCTGCATGTTTGCATAGAGCACCGTTACCTTCCTGCCAAGGCAGTACCTATTCATCTACTCACATTTGCATGTTTTCGAACTGCTAGATTGTCGTAAGCTGGGGCTAACAGTGGGAGCTCACCCTTCTCCCTGGATTTAAACCTGCGGCCTTTCAGCTAGCAAATTCAGCAGCTCAGAAGTTTAACCTGCTGTGCCACTGGGGGCTCTGTATGATATGATTCACACAACCTATGATTTTGTTTTTCTATACTTGACAAAATATATCCCTTCTAGGCATTTTTCTAGTTATTCCAATATTCTGTAGAATACTTCATTTCAATAGAGTTTGCTATTATTTGTGGTTTTCCATATCCATGTGAAGTCTTGGAACATATCTATCAAGAATACAGTGACTGTCCTGTATTCTGTAGATTGGAAGAGTGAATGGAACCATAGAGTTATGTTGAGACTGAAAGTGACTTTTTTGTTTTACAGTACCCAGAATCCCCATATAAGTAGCCATGCTGACTTGAGATTTTTAGAAGCTGTAGTTTGAAAAAGTACCGTATTTACTCGAGTGTAATGCACCACTGAATCTAATGTGCTCCTTGATTGCCAAAATCTTGAAACCAAAAAACAAACAAAAAAGTATTTGCTGCTGAATGTAATGTGTAGTGGCAAAAAGTGTGCTCTTTTTAATTTGGGCAAAAAAGGTATGCATTACTATTGCTGGCTGCTTAGAATTCCTTCATTATAAACAATTATCTTAAAACACCAAAACTTCTTCCATTGTGCATGTAGTAGGGCCCAGACTGCCTTGTAATAGGTGGTCTGTGGTTTGCTCTTCGCTTCTGGTGTGAGAGAATCAGCCATCAACAAAGATGTTGCCCAGGGGATGCCCGGATGTGTTGCAATCCTGCTGGGAGGCTTCTCTCATTTCCCCCATGGATGACCTCCTTATCGCAACACCAGAGGCACTCCAAGTAGCCAACTACTGATCAAAGGACATTTAATAGAATGTCAAGTTTTTAAACTTTGTGTTTTTTTTAATACATTACAACTGTACCCTCGGTTTGCTTCTGATACAGTAAATAAATAAACCAAAACTTCCAGCAATGGAAAAGAAAACCTTAGAGGGCATCTATGCTGTAGAATGAATCCACTTTAATTGCCTTGCTGAAACTATGGAACTCTACGACTGTAGTTTGACGAGGTTTGGAGCCTTCTCTGCCTCACAAAACTGCAAACTCCAGATTTGCATAGGATTGTGTTCTAGCCATTAAATTAGAGATGATGTCCCTCTAATAGAGGCCTCAGGTGCACCTCCTGAAGCAGCTTCTCCTTTTGCTTTGGCTTAGCACTAAGATTACTGTATGACACAAATCTAATGCACACTCCAATTTTGGCAAGGTTATTTAGCCAAAAAAGTGAGCATTGTATTAGAGTAAATACAGTTATTAACCCAAGTGCTATGCAATAAAAGCCCTGGTCTTTCAGACTTCTGCTTCAAGTGGACTAAATCTGTTGAGCAGCCATATTTCAAATAACAAAATAGTCTGGGAGAATACCAGAATATCATGCTGTGAGTCACTCCTTCAATTTGCTTCTGACACGATAAATAAAATCAGAATATCAGTTGGAGGTCCAAGGGTCACCTTTGTATGTGGAAAGCATTTTGTGTTCAGAGAAGAGCAAGTTTTTCAAATTGCAAGGGTCTGCTCCAAAGAGAATTCAACCCTTGATAAGAGAAAAGATCTGAGTACTCCTGAATAGATTCTTGTGACTTTAAGTGTGGATTTCTGCCATGGTTGGTTACTATACTGTCATGAGATTCAGGCTCCCATCTACACTACCATATAATCCAGTTTCTGATTCCACATTTATATGGCAGTGTGGACTCATATTGAGTTCAAAGCAAATTTACTTACCATATCAGGAGGGAACCAATGTATTAGAGAAAACACAAAGTTTAAAAACTTGGCATTCTATTAAATGTGAATAGCAGCAAGTGGAAAGAAGACTTAGGCAACTCGTGACAATGAATTGACCCAGACTTGGAATTGGTTTTTAACTGGAGTGTCTAATCAATTGTTTTAATGAATTGTTTTAATGTTTCAATGCATTTGTTGAATGTTTTATGATGGTGATGGCATCGTATGGTGCTTGCTGTGAGTCCGCCCTGAGTCCCCCTTCCCCCCCAGTGAGAAGGGCGGGGTACAAATAAGGGAAATAAATAAATACATAAATAAATGTTCTTTGACCAGTAGCTGGCCACTTGGAGTGCCCCTGGTGTTGTTCAAAGCAAATAATCTGAGATCATATACTGGATTAGAGGTGTGATAAATTATTCACTTGAGTTTAAACTGAATTGGCCAGTTCTTTTGATTTAATCATAGGAATAAATCATAAGAGTTAATTGATTTCCTTCCAATCTCTGTAAATTCCCATTTAGTGCTACTCAATCACCAGTAAGTGTTCTGTAACCAGGCTTGGATGATTTGGAGATCTGTAGCGTGATTAGACCATTCTGTTCAGTTCATGCCCTGCTGTTTGCCACATGATTGCTAAACCATTTAATCATGTTGTCACTTTATTAGCAGAGGGTCAGTACACTGTGAAAGTTCAGTGTAATGTAAAACAGTTGATTGATTAAGGTGGTTGGGTTTTGTTTTTTTTACAATTTAATCTTGTTTTTTTTACCTCATTACCTAGTTTTGGTAGCTTTATAACAATAGATTGAGATGCTCTCTCTCCCCCCCCCCCCAAAAAAAAAATATTACAGGGGATGGAGTCCAATAGGCAAGAGTTATTTCTCCCACCCTGGATATTCCACAAATATATAAACCTCACTTGCCTAGTTTCTAAGAGACCTCACAACCTCTGAGGATGCCTGCCATAGATGTGGGTGAAACATCAGGAGAGAATGCTTCTGGGACATGGCCGTACAGCCCGGAAAACTCACAGCAACCCAGTGATTCCAGCCATGACAACACACACTGTAATAATTTTGGGATGCTCTTTGAACTCTGCATGAGTCAGCCCATATGTTTAACAGTGCTGTAGTTGTGGGAATTGATTTTCAAGTTGTTCTTCCTATGAATGCTTGGTAGCTAGATAAATATGCTCTTGTTTGCTGCTACAACACATTTATTTCTACGTCACCTCATCTTTTTCAGGTTATCTTCATTTCTGGAGTTTGTTTGGTGGAGATCGACTTGTGGCAAGTTTTTCACCTGTACGTTGGACTAATAAAGCCTCTGAATGTCTCTATTTTGTAAAGAAAATCTAGCTCAACTCATTTCTTAAGACATAACATGACTACAAAGTAAAGATTGCATTTGGATGCCTCATGACAATATAAATACAAGAGTTCTTCTCCTTTTTACCACTCATCATCCAAAACAGACAATGTGGTCTAATGGGTATAGTTTAAATAAGAATTAAGAAATCAGTGTTCACATCTCTGGTGGCTTATAAAGTTAACCTTATGTCAGGTCAAGGTGATAAGAAAGTAACTATACCACTGTCTTGCTATCCAGAGGAGAGTAACTAAAAATCAAGGGTCTGGAGAATAAGCCCTATGAGGAACGGCTTAAAGAGCTGGGCATGTTTAGCCTGCAGAAGAGAAGACTGAGAGGAGACATGATAGCCATGTATAAAGATGTGAGGAGAAATCATAGGGAGAAGGGAGGAAGCTTGTTTTCTGTTGCCCTGGAGAATAGGATGTGGAACAATGGCTTCAAAGTACAGGAAAGGAGAGTTTACCTAAACATTAGGAAGAACTTCCTAACTGTGAGAGCTGTTCAGCAGTGGAACTCTCTGCCCTGGAGTGTGGTGGACTCTACTTCTTTGGAGACTTTTGAACAGAGGCTGGGTGGCCATCTGTTAGAGGCGCTTTGAATGTGATTTTCCCACTTCTTTGCAGAGGGTTGGACTGGATGGTCCCCATTCCGGTTTTGGGACGATTCCAGGAGATTGGGATCCATAATTCGGAACCCTGAGTTCTATTTCCGTTTCAAGAAGAATCTTGAAGGGCGCATATATGAGACCTTCAGAGCATCTTCCCAAATGTGAAGGATTGGATTTTTCTGGTGTCTTGAGAGCCTCTAAGCCAGCGACTCTCAACCTGTAGGTCCCCAGATATTTTGATCTTCAGCTCCCAGAAATCCTAACAGCTGGTAAACTGGCTGGGATTTCTGGGAGTTATAGACCAAAACACCTGGGGCCCCACAGGTTGAGAACCGCGGTTCTAAGCACATCAAACCAAATCACATGTTGTCTCAACTATTAGCCCAAAAATGTGACCTGTATCAATTTGTGTTCCAGACTAAAGAGAAAGCTTTGATCAGCAGCATTGCTGTGACAGTAGATGATTCATATCTGTATACTGCCGATGAAGATGGATATGTGTATGTTCATGACATTCAAGATTATGCTGTTGAGAATCCAGTAGAGGTAGCACCAAAATGTATGTACTTGTCAGCTTTGACTATTAAAACAGGATACGAGCGGTTTTTAAAAGTATAACGTGGGGTAATTTTGATATCCTAAATTGTTTAATCCAGACATTAGACTTGTGTATTTTGGCTGAACCTTGATCCATTGCTGATCGCCGGATTCTGGTAGACTCCCCTATCTGTTTTCGCACACCTCCTGAAAACAGCCAGGTAGCTGGATATCCATTTTCATTTCACAGGTGAAAAATATGGCTGGATCCGTCCTATTGGTGGCAATGGGCAACTTACGAGGTTCCCCTTTCCGTTCCTGGGACTCTTTCCATTTTTCCTTTCAAGGGAGCCTGGGTTTCAGGAATGGTGTTAAGGAAGCAGACACAGCTTGCATAAGACACCAAATAGGGGAGGAGGAGCCATGATCGACTACCACGTGGTCTCCGTTATGGACAGGAAACCGTGATGGCTGGAGCCTTTCTCTTATAGCCATCCAACCAAGCCAAAGAAGCCAGATTGGCTGAAGGAAAATGGCTAAAATGGATTCACACACAAGCCTACCAGGCATGGGCAAACTTGGGTCCTCCAGGTATTTTGGTCTTCAATTCCTATAATTCCTAACATCTGATAGGGTTGGGGCTATGGTTAGGGTGGGCAATATATTCATCCTGCCGCATACTATTTTTTATTTTTCTATTTATTTATTTTTCTATTTTCTTTTATTTTCTTCCCCCTCCTTTCCTTTTCTCGCATTTCTTTTCATCACCCCGCTTTCTCCCTACCTCTCTCTACCTCTCCCCATTATTTTTACAGTTTCTCACTTTATTCTACTACAGATCTTATTTAATTGTATCTAAACTCAAAGGCACCATTCCTCACTTGTGTTTCTCATGGTTTTGGCTATGTACCCCCCCCCCCCCTATATTCCCTAATAAAATATTATTAAAACAAAATGAATTGTGGGAGTTAAAGTCCAAAACACCTGGAGGGCCCAAGTTTGCCTATGCCTGGTTTAGCCTGTCTTGCACACCTGTAATGCATACTGTTTTTCCCCTAATACCTGTCATTCACAGGAACACATTCAAGAAGAATTTACTTAGGTAGGTGGAACTTTGCCAAGTTTTTAGGTCTGATCCAACACCTGGACTTCATCGACCTAGAAGGGCAATCTCAAATATTTTGGTATCAGAGAAGGACAATCTCAAATATTATGGTATCAGATGTCATTCATCCATTAAGCTGAACCTGTATTCTCTATCATGAGAGCTCTGGAGTTTAAACCTTCCAATGAGCAATCACAAAGCAAAACATTTTAGGGCCCTTCTACACAGCCCTATATCCCAGAATATCAAGACAGAAAATCCCACAATATCTGCATTGAACTGGGTTATCTGAGACCACACTGAGACAATGTGGGATTTTCTGCCTTGATATTCTGGGATATAGGGCTGTGTGGAAGGGCCCTTAATGTAACTTCCATAGGTGAGAAAGACCAAATACTATGACAAGGAGATAACTCCCCCACTTAAGTGAGCATCTCTCTTTAAAAGAAGTGCTAAACATTTCTGTTTCATTTGTAATTTTGTACCTTTGTAAACAAAAAGTTTACAAGGGATTCTGGGATGTAGAAGATTATGTTCTTTCATTGGTGCTCTTTAAAATGATGTTGTTCTAAGAAAATGCTTGCCTTAATTATGCAATCAGATAGGTCCTGGGCATCTATCCAACTACCAGCGTTTACTTACAAAGCCCTTTCCATCAAAGGGCGGACCATCAAACATATATAAACAAAGACAATCAAATGTAACTGTAATATCTTCTAAATGAATTTTTACATGCACAGGATATTCTTTGTAAGCTTTATGCTATTTTCCTATAGAGGAGAGATGGGGAGACATTAACGACTGCTGCTTTTAGGTTATCAGCTGTGTCTTATATTTATATAGGAGTTTAACACTTAAGTCAGTGTTTTTGCATATTACTACAGAAGTTAATCGATCAGTAAGGATTTCCAGTTCTCAAATTTAACAGTTGTGGTGACAATGTCATTTCCATTTTCCACTTTCAAATTACATGGCTTAAAGGAATAAAATTTAGTGTACCGAGGAATGACACAGAGCTCCATTCTGTCTTGGTTTTCAATGCAAAATTCTGGGCAGTTAATTCTTTAGATCTTGATACATGACTTTTGAACCTGGCTCCAGTTGGCTAAGGTTCTAGTAAAAAATGTAAATCGTACAAACTTAAAGTCTTCCTGTCTCTGAACTATTGTGTGTAATCATATTCTGTGTTTAAACAGAGGTATTTTTCTTTATATTGTTCTAGATGTGAATCATTGGAGAGCTCATGTAAACCTTGTTCTCTCGTAAGTATAAGTTGAATATATAGCAAAATAATAGTTCGTGTTTATATACAGACATATTTCATTTAAGAAAGTAGATGTATGCCTACTAGGCACTTTTTCTTTCACTGAAAATTTGGTGGCAGAAGCAGAAATGTTATAGGGACACAAAAGAAGAGCAGTTAAATAAGTTCCAGCTAATTTTTAGTACAAAACTAACAATGTGCACATATGAAATGGAACACCCTAGCCAAGTAAGCCTTGTGTTAATAACAAAGCACATTTTGAACCTTATTTTATTTTCTTACTATATTTATATTACCCCCCTTTCAGCCTGCAGGTGACTCAGGGAAATCACATGAGAGCATTTATCAAAATGCATCCAGAATTTTTTTTCTCTTTCACCAACCTCTACTTTTCATATGATTTCAACATTGGTGGCTAAACATACACATCTAGGACATTTAACGTCCTGGAGGAAACTCTCTCTGTGTGTGGTGTGATTGCCTGAGTGTGTGTAGGAACATGGAAGGAAAGCTTTGTTATATTTTATACTGAAACATGCTAGTATAATCTGGCACTCCATCATCATCCACATCATGCTGATGTTACACTCCAAATAGACTACTGAAACACATTCTATGTGGGGTTGCCCTTGAAGACTAATCATATGTTTCAAATGTTCCAATGGGCTCACCAGAGCAGCATACAGGGAGCATATAACCCCCTGTTGTGTCAGCTCCACTGGCTACCTATCTGCTACCAAGCATCATTCGAAGTGCTGGCTTTAGCCTATAAATCCATAAATGGTTCTGGCCCAGCTTACCTGTCTGACTGTTTCGCCCTCTATGAACCATCTTGGAAATTAAGATGGTGGCCCCTCGGCTATGGAATTCCCTCCCCAGTAAAAATCAGGTGAGCCGCTTCCCTCCTGACTTTCAGGAAGAAATTGAAGACATGGCTCTGGGACCAAGTATTTGGCTAGAAGCGCAGTGCAGTAAGAGAAGATGGAATATGTGCAATCATGACTGGAATGGCCTTGACTATGATTTTGAACTGTGTGGTTTTAATCATTGTTTTTAATGTGTATATTGCTTTTTTAAATATTAGGTCTTTAATGTATATGTTTATTTTATTACTGTTTGTTTGATAAGACATTGAATTGTTGCCTATTGCAAGGCTGCTCTGAGCCCCCTTTCAGAGTGAGAAGGGTGGGGTACAAATATGATAAATAAATAAATACATAAATAAGCTTCCAGTTCCCCCACCCCGAGAGAATGAGGAGTAAAAGGAGGGCCAGGCATGTGTAAAAAGATTTTGAGGAAAGAAGCTTCTATTAGAGGCTTGGTTAATTGAGTATGTCCAAATGTTTAATTGATTCATTCTCTGGTTTAACAATGCAGATTAGAGGTTATAGACGAAGACAACATCTTGTTATCCTGTTCAATTGATCGTACTGTTCGCCTGTGGAGCCTGAATGGAGAATATATTGGTAAATGATGCATTCATAAAACAAGGAGTTATGACACTGAAGTTAACTCAAGGTTAATGGGAATAAGAAGTTGAGCAAAAGATACGCAATGCTGTGATGCTGTCAGACAGTGTATTTGCATTGCATTGGTGATAGGCTTTTTTGATGCTGATTTTTCTTTTTTGGCCACATGGTGTCTTAAAGATTAACAAACACATTGTAGTATACATTGTTTAATTAATTGTTCAAAATGTATTGTTTAATAGTCATATATTAGAGTAATTGACCAGAATCCTATGCATTGAATCCTGTCCTGAACCCCACTTATCATAGAAAAATAGGCTTCTGTAGATCACAGCAGCTGCTGTAATCAACAGGAGTCTGTTCTCCTGCTGTTCATAAATCAGCTGATTAATATTCATATACCCTCCCATGAGCAAACCCCAATGTGACAAACAGAACCTGTCTCAATTCTCCATATTTCACTTGCAAAAGTGAAGCGTTAGCTAGTTGCTTCCTGACTGACAGGACCAGACCCCTGTCAATCCAAGCAGCTGCTTCATAGCAAATGGAGACAGGAAGACTTTCACAGTTCCTATGTAACTGTACAGGAAACCCCTCACTCAAGTGTGGAAGTAAAATCTTTCAGTTGGGGCCAGGAAGTGCCAGAAAATAGTCTTGGAACAGAGAAATATTGTTTTGATACTTTTATAAACCCAAGAACCACACCAACAGAGATTACAAAATTCCAGTACGTTTGACCCATCGGAAGGATCCCTGAATCTGGATCCAATCAGTTAGTTGCTTTGAAACAACAATAGAGTTGCAGTTTATATTAGAAAGGAGAAATTGATGTACTCTGAATCATACAGAATCATACCATAACCTTGAATAGCTATTTTTTTCTTTTATGAGCTGTTACATCAAAGTGTGTTATCCTTCCCTGTAATTTTTGAAAGAGCTGCTTCCATAGAATGCTGTTTTATTCTCCATTTTCCTTCCTTCCTTCCATAGGAACCTTTGGCCAAGCAGAACCTTGGGAGATCTTTACACCATCCTCCTGGAAGCATCCCAGGGTTCCTTATGAAATCCTGATAGATCCACAAAGTATGCCCACCTACCCCATGTTGGAAGACATGTCCTCTGACACACAGGTCACAGGCCCAGATAAAAGAACAATGAATGTTTCTTCCCCCAAGGTCTGTATGTCAAATATAAATCTGCTAAAGTTGTGAGATGTTGCCTTTGAGGTGGGTTGTGAATTCCATTAGTTTGAGGAACCAATGACCTTCCAGATGCTATTGGATTTCTTTTATCCCTATCTAATGTGGCTAATGGTCAGGGATTATGAGAACTACAGCAAAAGAGGAAAATGTCTTTTAAAGCAAGCATTTGAGGTTTGACCAATTGCCATCGATGTCTGGAGACAACCAGAGCAACCACATTTAGAGTGCAAGATGATTACTTTACATACAATTTACAGTGACACAGTTTCCCATTGAATTTAGGCAGCAGGACAGTGGCAGTGGAGGGTTTGTCTGCAGCCAGTGCCAGGGAGCACATTTTGACCCCGGAACCATCTAAGTAATCTTTAATAATAATATTTATTTGTACCCTGCCACCATCTTCCCAAAGGGACTCGGGGCAGCTTGCAAAAGAACTCCAAGTGCCACACGCAGACAATACATAAGCACAAACACAATGACACAAGTACAATCAACAGCTCATAAAAATCTCGATTAAATCACAAAAAATTGAAAACCATAATATTCCTAAAACGTAGTGGAACCTGTGGGCTGGCTATCTATCATAATAATCAATCAAAGTATGGGCCAGTACTATCAATGATTCATCACATTGGCCATGGATTATTCAGGATCAAAGGCCTGTCTGAAGAGCCATGTTTTTAATACATTGCCATGTTCTGGTCATCTTTTAGTGGCCTTAGTCCACAGTCTCCACTCTTCACACAAGACCATGTATGTTGACATACATCAGAACTTTCTCAGAGGTGGCTTTGAGTTTTTGAAACAATGTCCCCAGTGAGGTCTGTTTCGTTCTTCACTTTCAGTCTTTAGAACTCAACAGAAGAACATTTTGAGGTTCAGCGGAGGCAGCTGGGTTTGTTGAGCTTTGAGAAGAGAAGGCTGAGATAGGACATGATAGCCATGGGTTGTTGTAGGTTTTTTGGGTTGTATGACCATGTTATAGTAGCATTCTCTCCTGATGTTTCGCCTGCATCTGTGGCAAGCATCCTCAGAGTTTGTGAGGTTTGTTGGAAACTGGAAAATTGGGTTTATATATCTGTGGAAGGTCCAGGGTGGGAGAAAGAACTCTTGTCTGTTGGAGTTAGCTGGCTCTGGGACCAGGCCTTTGGAGAAGCAGTGCAACAATATAATTAGAATATGTGCAATGACTATGGAGCAGGCTCAGACTACGATTTTTGGATGGTGTGATTTTAATATTGGATGTAATGTTTAAATGTTTAATATGTATTAATTTTAATTCAATGGATTTTAAGCTTAATGTTGTATGTGTTTAAGGCATTGAATAATTGCCATATGTAAGCTGCCTTGAGTAGCGAAAGGGGGGTATAAATAGGGTAAGTAAATAAATAAATAAATTTCAGGATGCCCATAATTTAGAAATGTCTTGTAGGTACTCAACAAAGGCAACATACAAAATACATATGGCCATTATTTGTTCATCTTTTTACTTCAAGATTGGGTTTGTAAAAAATAAAGTCTTCCAGTCTTCAATGGTGGAGTGATTTTGGCTGCTATTAGTACTCTAAATAGCAGTGTGAGATATATGAATAATGCAGTTGTTGCCCTTCTGTTTTCATCAGGAAGCAAGGAATAATCTCAAGCCCTTCCAAGTAATGGTTTCTGATGAAGACATTAAAAAAGAAATCAACAAGCAGTTGAACACAAAAACAGCAAGCAGGAGGTGAGCAGAGGCCTGCATGAGCAAAGGGCTTCATGCATTTTTAAAGAGCTTACGATTCCCATTTCCTTTTTCTAGGTTGACATACGAGCGATCCAAGCTTTCTAACAGGAAGATTCACCACGGCAGGTTGGGTACATATCATGCCATCAACTATTACGAAATTGAGAGTTTCCCAGGTAACTGCAAAAAGCCTGATTTATCTGTTCTTGGCACAGACATTTTCAACAATATTTATCAAGGAGCAGCTGAATAGTAAGATAGTGAGAAAACCAATTGCCACATCTCAAGAAGAAGAAAAAGGAGGTCTGTATGAAAAAGTCCTGGCATGTGCATAATCAACCCAAAAATGATGTCGAATATCTGGAAATAAGATAGGGATCCACTTCTGAATGGAAAAGTGGTACTTTTGATGTTAAGTAATGCAAGGTCTACATGTGACCTCTTTGAAGTTAGTTGCATTCCTGGCAAGCATTTTATGCAATTAATCCCTTTTTGAGCTAGAAAATGGGTGTTACAGTTCATTTAAAAGCACCGTGCACTTTTTCCTTTTTTTGCTAGCTATAAGGAAGGGGCTATAAGGCCATGATTTACATCACGGGTCCTCAAACTAAGGCCCAAGGGCCGAATACAGCCCTCCAAGGTCATTTATCTGGCCCGTGCTTAAGGTCAACCTAAGTCTGAAATGACTTGAGAGCACACAACAACAACTACAACAACAAGCAGGCCCACACTTCCCATTGAAATACTAATAAGTTTATATTTAATGTATTGTCGAAGGCTTTCGTGGCCGGAATCTCTGGGTTGTTGTAAGTTTTTTCGGGCTATATGGCTATGTTCTAGAGACATTCTCTCCTGATGTTTCGCCTGCATCTATGGCAAGCATCCTCAGAGGTAGTGAGGTCTGTTGGAAGAAGGAAAAAAACAATCTACAAACCCACCAAGAAAATCCAAAAATGCTACGTTCAGCAAAGGACAAGAGGGATCCTCTCACTTCTGCAGGAGTCTACCGTATACCATGCAGCTGTGGACAAGTCTACATAGGGACCACCAAACGCAGCATTGCCCAAACACGAATCAAGGAACATGAAAGGCACTGCAGACTACTTCAACCAGAGAAGTCAGCCATAGCAGAGCACCTGATGAACCAACCTGGACACAGCATATTATTTGAGAACACAGAAATGCTGGACCACTTTCACAACCACCATGTCAGACTACACAGAGAAGCCATTGAAATCCACAAGCATGTGGACAATTTCAACAGAAAGGAGGAAACCATGAAAATGAACAAAATCTGGCTACCAGTATTAAAAAAACTCTAAAATTACAACAGCAAAACAACAGAGAGGAAACAATCAAGGACATCTAATCACCTCTCAACAAAAGATTGCCCCAGGCACTGCCAGGCCATCAAATGCTAATCAAGGTGGTCAGTTGAAACATTCACACCTAGCTCCAACAGACAAGAGTTCTTTGTCCCACCCTGGTCATTCCACAGATATATAAATTCAACAGATATATAAACCCATCTTCCTAGTTCTAACAGACCTCACTACCTCTGAGGATGCTTGCCATAGATGCAGGCGAAATGTCAAGAGAGAATGCCTCTAGCACATGGCCATATAGCCCAAAAAAACCTACAACAACCCAAGTTTATATTTGTTAAAATTGTTCTTCATTTTAATTATTGTGTTGTTTTAAAGTGTTTTTGCACTATAAGATATGTGCAATGTACATAGGAATTCACTCTCTTTTCTTCAAATTATAATCTGGCCCTCCAACAGTTTGAGGAACTGTGACCAGGCCCTCTGTTTAAAAAGTTTGAGGACCCCTCGTTTACATACTGCTTTGTATCTCTTCTCTTTCTCTCTCTCTCTTTTTTATTGGCTGCCTCTCTCCCGAGTGGTAGGGTGAAACCTCCTTCCACACCCCATCGTTGCCGGGAGGCAAAAACACGTGAAACAGTGAGTCCACGAAAAGTGAACCGCAAAGTAGCGAGGGAACACTGTAGTCAGTGTATCTGTATTGGTTTTGGCAGTGGAAAAGAAATCTGAAGGAAAAGGACTGAATTTTCTCACACCTCTCATAAAGCAATGATGTTCTTATTGATTGTAAGTCAAACACTTTTCCAGAACTACACATCATACAGTATTTACAGATTTGTGTGTTTCAGCAGGAAATGAGATCAGCATAATTCAGGATTGAAATGGAAAGACAGCATTTTGTTTGAAAATAATTAGTTGTAGTCTGGCATCTGGAAGACGACAGGTTCTCTACTCCTCATTCAACTGGAACAGAAATACCTTTGCAGCATGCTTTTTCGCATCTCTGAAGTTCTGCTCCAAATATTTTTGACATCAGATGTCCTGTGCCGATAGGAGGAAAGGACCTTTTCTCCTGCATGTGTTGTGTGCCTTCAGGTTGTTTCTGACTTATGATGACCATATCCCTGGGTTTCCTTGACAAGATTTGTTCAGAGGGGGTTTGCCTTAAATTTCCTCTGAAGCTGAAAGAAAGATCACTCAGTGTGTTTCCATAATGGAGCATGGATTTGAACTCTGGGTCACCTATCAAAAGTCCAACATTTAAATCACAACACCGCACTGGCTCTTTCTTTTCCTCCTATGGGGACTAAAATCCACAATTCTGTTCTTAGAAGTTTGCCCAATCTTATCAGTCTCTTTGGTGCAGGCTGTAATTCCTAATTCCAAAAGGCATTTGGCACTTCTCAGGTGTGCGATTTTCTTCCTTTTTGGCAGGGGTTGGACTGGATGGCCCATGAGGTCTTTTCCAACTCTATGATTTTCTTATTGAGTTTGTGTACTTGACTATAAGACAAAATATCTATAGACAGAGGCGGAGAATTAGGAAACAGAACAATCCATTTGAGAAGGTGATTAGGAAATGTTTGAGAGAGGAATTTTATAAAATTCCTAAAATTCGGTAAAAGAAAAAAAAACTGAGGAATTATTTCAAATGTGGAGAATAGGTATGGAAATTGAGAGGGAAGATATCCAAAGGGAAATAAGTAATATAACAAAGGAAAAATATAATGTACTTAGGGAAGCAAGAACAAAGATGTTACAAAAATGATAAAGGACTCCTGCACAACTTTCACCAGGGTAAAGGACAGGTGTTGACATGGTTGTAAACAAAGAGGTGTGTTTGGGCTTGGCCTCATGTAAGCCACTCAGAGTCCCCTTTGGGGAGATGGTGGCGGGGTATAAATAAAGATTATTATTATTATTATTATTATTATTATTATTATTATTATTATTAATCACATGATATGGGAATGTGACAGAGTACAGGCGTATTGGAGAAAGATTGAGGGATAAATTAATAGAATGTTAAATCTTCAACTCATAATAGCCAATAGAAATGTATTACATGCAAGGATACCAGGAGTGTAAAAGTGCAAAAGGAAAGAGTGGTTGACAAATTAATAGCATGTGTGCAAATTGTTTTAGTGAGGGGTTGGAAAGACACAATCATCGAGTTGGAAGAGACCTCATGGGCCAGCCCAGTCCAACCCCCTGCCAAAAAGCAGGAAAATCACATTCAAAGCAGCCCCGACAGATGGCCATCCAGCCTCTGTTTAAAAGCCTCCCAAGAAGAAGATAAAACAAAGCAGACTCTGACAAACTGGTATAATTATATAGTAAATATGTTAAATGTGGAAATAACAAATTCTAAATTGAACAATATAGACAAAATAGGAAATGTTATAATAATTAAGAACATGTGGGATCCAGTTAGGAATTATTTAGAAAATGTATTAAGATGTGGAGTGGAAAAATTGAGACTAAAACTGGTATTTCAAATGTAATTTCTGTAGTTTCTTGTATAAATTGTATGGTAATTTATGGGGTAAACAATAAAAGGGGGGGAAAGAGTTTGTGTACCTAAAAGCTAATTATTGTGAATTTACATTACTTTTAAGCAAAGTAGGGTTCACCATGATACTGTGACATTTATATTGATTTGATTGTCCTATAACATGCGAAATATAAAAGACAGAAAATAAATAAAATGTAGCATTTAATTATTTGTAGAGTTCTTTATAGGCATGCCATTACATGTGTACAATTAGCATTCGCTTCTAGATTTATTATTTGCATTGGAAACAGTAAGTTTCCTCCCCAAAATGAAGAGCCTGCTTTACCAGTGCACTGTACCACTGTTTAGCTAGGAGGATCAAGAGCCAGTGGCATGGACAGTATTGGGATTTAGGAGGTCTACTTCAGGGATTAACTGAACCATGACATTGACTTGAATAGTTAGGATCTGTCTTCACTGGAGCTGTTGTGGGGCAATGGGTTAAACCCTTGTGTCAGCTGAACTGCTGACCTGAAGGTCAGCGATTCCAATTTGCGAGATGGAGTGAGCTCCCATCTGTCAGCTCCAGTTTCCTATACGGAGACATGAGAGAAGCCTACGACAGGCATCCCCTAGGCAACGTCCTTGCAGATGGTCAGTTCTCTTACATCAGAAGTGACTTGCAGTTTCTCAAGTCATTTCTGGCACAGGGGAAAAAAAAACTGCAGCCCTAGGGAGCAAGGAGGAAAGAGCCATATACAGAACATCTGGAACTCATTGTTGGAAACATCCAATATAAATGCTACCAATAGTTGTTTTAATTGTAAGTCATCCAGATTCTTGACTAGATGTGCTTCTGTCCTTTCTTCAGTTCCCCTCACTTTGCTTCTTTTCTGGCTCTCACCAAGTTCCTGCTGCAGCTAATGTTCTTAATAACCCATCCCATCCTCTCACCTCTTTTGCTGCTAGCTTTGACTCATGCTATTACCTTATCTACACCCTTCTTGCAAGTTCATCTATCATACCAATGCTCTTGTTGCCACCAAACTATTTCAATCATCTCTTAAATATGGGTTCTGTCCCTGCATATTCCTCTGAAACTCTAGTTTTAATTCTTCCGAAAGTCTTATTTTCTCCAACAACATCAACTAGTTACTTTTTCAAATTAGTCTTTCCATTTTTCTAGAATTCTCAGCAACAGTCATCTTTCTCCTTCAAATCCCTCTTACAACCCTAAAGACTAGAATGTTTCCATAGAGAAGACAGATAATATAAATCCAAGCCAACATTCCAAATTATATACTTTGGTCAAGTTAGATCTGTATATATTCCTAACAAAATCATAGAATCACAGAGTTGGAAGAGACCTCATGGGCCATCCAGTCCAACCCCCCTGCCAAAAAGCAGGACAATCGCATTCAAAGCACCCCCAACAGATGGCCATCCGACCTCTGTTTAAAAGATCTGTAGGAGCCTCCACCACACACCACTGCTGAACAGCTCTCATAATCAGAAAGTTCTTCCTAATGTTCAGGTGTAATCTCCTTTCCTGTAGTTTGAAGCCATTGCTCCGCACCCTAGTCTCCAGGGCAGCAGAAAACAAGCTTGCTCCCTCCTCCCTATGACTTCCCCTCACATATTTTTACATGGCTATCATGTCTCCTCACAGTCTTCTCTTCTGCAGGCTAAACATGCCCAGCTCATTAAGCCGCTCTTCATAGGGCTTGTTCTCCAGACCCTTGATCATTTTAGCTACCCTCCTCTGGACACATTCCAGCTTGTCAACATCTCGCTTTGGTTGCGTTGTCCAGAATTGGACACAGTGTGATTCCAGGTGTGGTCTGACCAAGGCAGAACAGAGGGGTAGCTTTACTTCCCTGGATCTAAGTACTATACTCCTATTTATGCAGGTCAAAATCCCATTGGATTTTTTAGCTGCAGCATCACATTGTTGGCTCATGTTTAACCTGATGTCCACAAGGACTCCAAGATCTTTTTCACACATACAGCTGTCGAGCCAGGCCCCCCCTCCTTTCATTTTTTATGCGTAAGTGGAGTATCTTACATTTGTCCCGGTTGAACTTCATTTCTCTCATCTGTTAAGATCATTTTGAATTCTGCTCCTGTCCTCTGGAGTATTGGCTTTCCCTCCCAATTTGGTGTCATCTGCAAACTTGATGATCATGCCTTCTAACCCTTCATCTAAGTCATTAATAAAGATGTTGAACAGGACCGAACTTTGCGGAATTATGGAAAAGTTTCCATAATTACCAATTCACAATAATTCATAACAGAATTCTTGCCATAATTACCATCTGAGTAAGGAACCTTCATAGGAGTATCATGTGCGTTAAAAATAATTAAGACCAAACCCCTTTTTCAAACCATAACCATTTCAATGAACTTTATTAAAGCTCACTAAAGGCTTGACAGGAACATTTAACAGGATCAGTGTACTACCTTCATTTGGTTTTCCCTACATGAGAGTGTACTTCTTGAGCAAGCAACAAAATGTAAGCAATTCTGCATGCTGCTTCACACATTCTCATCTTTGCTTCGAGCAAACATCTTGAACAATGATACAAACAACATTCTTTAGGTTTGGTTTTTATGTAGGCTTTTCGCCCAATGCCTCCATCAGCCATCAAACAAATAAACATACTAACACGAAGAAGAAAGAAAAACTACCTTGGCATCTACGAAAAGTTCTAGGAGCAAACCTTTTGAAGGAGCAGGACCTTTTGTAACAACTCAGTGGCATCACAGCCCTAATTTGAAGCAAAAGGTCAAAATTGCTGCACAGAAGATTGTATCGAGTGTTCACAATTCCACAGGAATCTGAAAGTTACCAAGGCAATTTTCCTTTTAGGATTTATCATGATTCTCCACTTCTTTTCACCACAGTCACTCCCCACATAATACAACAGAATTCTAAAATATAAATAGCTCCCTCGGACAAGACATTTCCCCCATTATCACACAAGACAGTAGAAGTCTTTTCCCGTGTGAAATCGCTCGTTGAGATACAACAGGCTAGTTCAAGTCCATGTTGGCTGGGCTCTCATTCATGTGGCATTCCCCATTCTGTTGTGGTATTTCAACGTTTTTGATTTCCTCTTCTGCATCCTCGTTTTTATAAACAGAAGTAGTATCCATTGGTTCCTCTTGTTTAGGAGAGTCTACCTTTGGTTTTGGTTGGGTCACAATAAGTTCACACACACCATATAACTCCTGCAAGAGACACAACAAACCATACATTTATGGAACTGGCAGCAACTATTTCTCTAAGCTACACTATCCTATTTCTAAAAACATAATAGAACACTGGAGTCCCTGGTGGTGCTGCAGGTTAAAGCGCTGCGCTGCAGAATTTGCTGACCGAAAGATTGGCAGTTCAAATCTGGGGAACGAGGTGAGCTCCTGCTGTTAGCCCCAGCTTCTGCCAATGTAGCAGTTCAAAAACATGCAAATGTGAGTAGATCAATAGGTTCCACTTCAGTGGGAAGGTCACAGCACACCATTCAGTCATGCTGGCCACATGACCTTGGAGATGTCTATGGACTACACCGACTTTTCGGCTTAGAAATGGAGATGAGCATCATCCCCCAGAGTTGGACGCGACGAGACTTAATGACAAGGGGAAACCTTTACCTTTATGGAATACCCTCCCCTGCCCTTTTAGCAAAATATATTAGGAGTGCTTTACATCCTAATTAGCCAATAACAGACACATTTGGGTTTCCCAGGCTTTAGTTTTTCCTGCAGTGATCTGCACCCAAATAAACACTTACCCTCAGCTTTCCTTTGATTTCACTGGCACGGACAACAGGATCCTTATCCAGACTCTGCTTTGCCTGTGCTTTTACCATGCTGTTTATCCATTCCATTGTGTCATGGACACACTTTTCTACTTTACTAATTTCAGATTCATCAATATGGATATATTTTTCATTCTGAAACGTGTAACAATGCAGTACATTAATAAGCATTATTGAGACATGAAAAACAAAAGTTAGGCAGGTGAGTGCCTTTATAGGAGGGCCCCAACATGCCACAGAAGTGGCTTTCAGATGATCCAGATCTCTTCTAGAATCTGCTTTATATAAATAATTCTGTGCAGTTCCTACTTGTGTAGAGCTTCACAAGTAGAAAGTACAGAGAATTATGAACACAAAGTTCAGAAGGTGCCTCTTTCAATCATTACTGTAATTTTATATTGGTTGTAATATTCTTATAGTGTATGTTTTATGTAATTTTGTTGTTTATGTTTTGATTTTATTTTGGTGCTGTGCTGTTGAGCTTGGCGTCATGTAAGGCGTCCCGAGTCCCCATTGGGGAGATGGTGGCGGAGTCTAAATTAAGATGATGATGATGATTATTATTATTATAGAAGTGAGATGAACTGAGATTCACCCCTTATGAGACTCCCCGCCCCCAGACACATTACTTCATTCATCTCACTCAGGGTTTTATAAATTTTACCCTTTGCATTTTGGCCCGCCCACCGTGCTCTAATTCCTCTACCACTTTATATTTTTTACGTTGTTTTATTGTATATTTAATTATTGTTTTGCATTTTACCTTGATGTTATTATTTGCTTGTATTTTATTTTGCTTATTGTAATTCTTGGGTTTGGCCTCTTGTTAGCCCCCCTGAGTCCACTTCGGGGAGGTGGTGGCGGGGTATAAATAAATTTTATTATTATAGTATTAGATGGAGTACTGAAACAGGAAAAAAAAGACTCTTCCACATTCAGTATTGTAAGATTACATACCTTGTTCCTGTATTCCTCTATAATTTTAGCGTAATTCCGAGCCTTATGCGCTAGTTCCTCCATCAGCTTTGGACGTTCTTCTGCTTCTTGATACCGCATCTCAATGGGAGTACCAAATTTCTAAAGAGAGTGGCATAATTCATTATAAATATAGATAACCAACCTACAATGCTATACAGGTCTCTCTCTCTCTCTCTCTCTCTCTCACACACACACACACAATCCTACACATGGCAGTTTAGAAGTAAGCCTATTCAGTGTAAGTATCTTGCTTTCAATAAACTTCTGTCATACACAATCAATAACTTTTTAAGCATAGTACACAGGATAAGAGGAGCCCCCGGTGGTGCAGTGGATTAAAGCACTAAACTGCTGAGCTTGTTGATCGAAAGGTCGCAGGTTCGATTCCGGGGAGCGGCGTGAGCTTCCGCTGTCAGCCCTAGCTTCTGCCAACCTAGCAGTTCGAAAACATGCAAATGTGAGTAGATCAATAGGTACCGCTCTGGCGGGAAGGTAACGGCGCTCCATGCAGTCATGCCGGCCACATGACCTTGGAGTGTCTACGGACAACGCTGGCTCTTCGGCTTAGAAATGGAGATGAGCACCACACCCCAGAGTCAGACATGACTGGACTTAATGTCAGGGGACTATCTTTACCTTTACCTTTACACAGGGTAAGAGTAGGCCTACCTTTAAATCAGTCAGTCTATCCATATAGATCTGTTTTGGTTGGTCTTCTCCCTCCTCATACAGCCAATCTTCAACCTCTGACAGCAGTTTGGAGAAATTATTACGATCCTAGGGTTAAATAAGTTTATTAATATATGATAACCACTCATTAAAGTAACACTGCATTAAGAAAAAAGAAGTGACACTGTTTACGTTGGAATGTAAAACAAACCATCAGAATATTAAAACCAAATTTTGTGTCCCTAGAGAGCAAGGTTGAATAAGCAGGTTTGAAGAATGCTTTAAAACCTAATATGTTAATATATTAAAACCTGAGAGAAAATCTTTTTTAGGTAAAGCTGCCATGTTGAACACTGACATTAATAATGTTAATATTTCTTAATATACAAAAAGTTATTGAATTGTGGAATGTACCCTATTTCTACTTTTAAAGAATTTGACTGATGAGGATATACATTTGGGGTTTGCTATGGAAAAAATTGGTAGCTCTCGCCAATAAATTTACTTTGTATTTTCTGAATGACAGCTAGTAAGGTGACACTGAGGATTTATGTTTTTATTGGTTTTTGTATGAATTGCTAAATGTTTTTAAAATGTATTTTACGTTGTTGGGGGCATTGAATTGTGCCAACTGTAAACCGCCTTGAGTCGCTGTTGGGCTGAGAAAGGTGGTATATAAATACGGTAAATAAATAATAATAAATAGTACAAGAAAGAGTCAGAACTTAAAGAAGTAATATCATAACAAAAAAAACTTTATTTATATTCCACCCTATCTCCCTGGGTAGAAAACAATATTTGAAGCCACTGATAAATGTTCATAAATTAAGAAAACTTTAGAGGTTTTCTTAGTGAAGTGGGACAGAAGAGGAATACTTGACTCAAATACCTGTTCACACACAAATTTCTCGTAGGGTCCAGAAAGCTTATCTCTGAAATCATAAACATATTCTTCAACAGCGTTCTTTGCGTCATTCCTTTCTTTCTCCAGTTTGTCTTGCATGATCATTTTGCCCTATACCAAATTGAAGTATTTTATTAGATTAAGAATCATATTTCAAATGCTAAAAAATGTATAAGAAGCCCAAAACGTAAGACCTTTCAAGTGCTTTCCTCCAATACAGATATAGTTTGGTGAAAGGCACATTGCACCATAAAGCTCTCCATTATTTTTTTTTAAACTTATAACCTATGTAACTAGCTTCACATATTGATTAAAATTATAGCTGAAGCTAGGCAAGATTGTGTATTAGAAAGCAGGCATTTATGGCAACAGCACATATATCTGACCTGATTCACACAAACATTTACACATTATTGCACCTTTATTTTAAAAGAGACCATCGCAAAACAAACACCAGAATAACTTTTCTGTTTCCAACCCATTATTTTGCATCTTTGTCTTCTAGATTACACAGTAATTGTCAAGGATTGCAAGTCTGTTAATACTGAAACCAACTGGTGTCATTTTTGCAGAAACAAGGACAGAGTGTTGCTGTCCAATATTATGTTGTATAATAAAATTTAATGCATCTTAAAAGAGTTTATAAGTCCATCTAATTATCAGTGGCAGTTTTGTTGACCTTTTGAATTAACAGAGAAGATCTTTCAAGCTATCAAGAAATATAGCATAATGAAATCCAACTGATATTACAATTCTGAGAGCTAAATAATTATCTTAATTACAATCGGACCAATATTAGATGTGGATGTCAAAGCTCATTTAACGCACCTCTGTTTCAATGTACATATTGAGCAGGTCTCTTCCAAGTTGCCAGACCAAGTTAGCTTCAATAGGTAACTCTACATTCTTCACTTTCATCTTGGGTTTTTTAGCATCTGGAGGTTGGTCACCTTTCTTTTCATCTCCCTGGGATGGAGAGCAAAAAAAGAAAAAGAAAGGAAGAAATAATAACATTACATCAGAAGTCACCAATTCAATGAACCTTAGCAACTTTTGAAAGATCCCCATAACAGACACTGTTTACTAGTTTCAATGGACGACTTTTATGCCCAGTGAAAAAAAGTATGTTTCTTTTCCAAAAGAATGCATTTAAAGGGTCACTCACTTTTGCAGCATCTGGGGTTTTGTTTTCTTCAGGGGCAGCCTCAGGAGAAGGGGGAGACTGTGACGTTTGTTGGCCATCTGTTTGTACCTGGGGCTGATCTCCAGCCTCATTGTTGCCTTGCTGGATATTTTTCTGAAATGGGAGCCCAGGCACAAAAGATGTGAAGAGTACACACACAAGGAGAAACTGTTTATGATCTACAATATATTTAATGTTTGAAATTCATAAGGTATAGAAAGCTGCCTTGAGAAATTTCGGCACATCTGGGCAGATCACGACCGCATAGCTCAAAACAAGCTGAGCAGAGCGTTTCACACTGAGAGCCTTGCTCCCTTTGTCCCTTCTTCATTTTGGGAAGAGGGAACAGTAAGAAGTAGCAAGCTCACTTGCCACTTCTAAGCATTAAATAAGAGATCTCTGTGTAGGGAAAGGAGGGACAGACATGAAGCATTATCTGCTGATGTAGAGAGGAATCAGGTGAATTCTAGCTAAGAGAGGGTAAAGAAATCTGTATTACCCTCCAACAGTGACAAGTGGGATCAAAGAACCTTTTTCAGAATTATTACAAAGCAGAGCTTTATAAGGAAACCTCTATAGCAGTGGTTCTCAACCTGTGGGTCCCCAGATGTTTTGGCCTACAACTCCCAGAAATTTCAGCCAGTTTACCAGCTGCTAGGATTTCTGGGAGATGAAGGCCAAAACACCTGGGGACCCACAGGTTGAGAACCACACCTCTATTGCATGTATGGGAACACCTTGGTCCTCCAGGTGTTTTGGATTTCAACCCTGGAGGGCTGCTGTGCCAATCCATAACAACACACTGGCTGTTAGGAATTGTGGGAGTTGAAGTCTAAAACATCTGGAGAGTCGAAGTTGGCCGTTGCCTGATCTATAACCATTGATTCCATAACTATCTCTGGGCACTTCCACACAGCCGTATAACCCAGAATATCAAAGCAGAAAATCCCACAATATCTGCTTTGAAAGGGGAATATATGGCAGTTTGTCCATGCCTGCTCTACAGAGTGGATCCCCTATCCATACAGCACACATAGAAACTAGCTTCATAAAAAAATTGAATGAATATTTTGCTAGGAAAAAAATTATTTCATTTCTAAAAAGGACTAACAGCTGCACTGAGCAATGACACAATTTCACTCTTAACTCTCCCATTGAAGTTGCACAATGGGGATGCGCCCTTTGAACAGATAAAATGTTGTTCGTCTTACATCAGCTACTAAGCTGTGCATCTGGTATAAAGGTAGGCAATACAGATTATTTTTTAACTATTCAGTGTATAGTAACATTTAAGATCAGACTATTTGACCACTTAGGCCAGGATCCTCTCCCTGGATTGGCACAGCAGCCCTCCAGGGTTTCAGACACATATCCTTCATGAAACCGTGGTTCTCAACCTGTGGGTCCCCAAGTGTTTTGGTCTACAACTCCCAGAAATCCTGGCCAGTTTACCAGCTGTTAGGATTTCTGGGAGTTGAAGGCCAAAACATCTGGGGACCCACAGTTGAGAACCACTGCTTTAACTAGAGATGTCAGGGGTATTGAATCTGGGATCTTCCATCTGCAGAACTGAACCCTCCCATTGCAGCTTGTTCCTACTGGTGTGTAAGTTAATACACTGCTTCCTAAATTGTGGGTCCTGCCCTCAAATGGTGTCTGCTTGCCTCAACATTGGGATTGTGAAATAATTTTCTGAATGTCACCTAGTGGCTCTTTTAGACATTTACATGAATCTATTATGTGGTGTTTACAGTGGACTTTGCGGAAAATGCTTCAGCTGTACTTTATAAAAAGAAAAATCATCTGCTTGAAAATGCTGATTTGGCATTAGTAAATGCTTGATTTTACTATTTTATTTTTCTGTAAAATACACATATTAAAACCTATTTTTACAAAATGCATGTTAAAATACACAGAACAAAGATCCAGCTATTGGAGCTTTTCCGACAGGTCGTTCCAAAGTCTTGGGGTGGCCAATGAAAAGGTCATCTGGGCGACGGTCACCAGTTGGGTTCTGGCTGGTTGAAGTAGCAGCCCCCCAGTGGACCTAAGTGTGCAAGGCAGATTGTATGGGAGAAGGCGATCCTTTAGATCACCTGGACTCAAACCATAAAGATCAAAACCAACATTTTGGACTAACACTTTAAAGATCAAAACCAACATTTTGTGCTTTGTCCAGAAACTAATTGGCAGCCAGTGGAGTAACTCCAAGATAGGTGTAATATATTCACTCCTGTAACCAATCTGGCTGCCATATTTTGAAGTTCCAAAATGATACCATGGTTGATGGTTTTGAAGGCTGCTGAGTGGTCTAGAAGCACCAACAGGGACACACTCCCCTGTCAATGTTGAGAAGGAGATCATCCACTACGGTGACCATAGCAGTCTCAACTCTGTATCGTGCTCTGAAGCTAGTTTGAAATGGGTCAAGGAAGTGTGTGTCATCCAAAACTGCCTGGGGTTGAAGGGCATTTTCCTTCTCAATCACCTTGCCCCCAAAAGGAAGATGAGACACTATTGGTGTAATTAAGGCCCATGGGATCCATGGAGGGCTTTATAAACCCCAGGTCACATAAAAATTTATCAGGCCAAGACTTTTTCGAATTAAAGCAGTTAAGGCAGATATAACTTACTTATTTACATACACACAGAACATAATTTTGCCCCCCTTCCCTGAGGAACCAATTAAAGGGTATTCTGAACATTAAAGACAAGGAAACCAACTTACATCAATGGTCTCAGGACATTTTTGGTTTTGGAGATCTACTTCAGCTTCAACATCAGGGGTTTCACTGTCTTCCTGTTTCACCTGCTCCACCTTTGATGCAGTGGAAACACTAAAAATGCCATGAGAATTGATGCGGACTTTCACTTTAATTTTATTTTTCTCTCCATTAGTCTGAGTGGCAATGTTCTGAACAACGTATTTCCCTAAAAAGATAGAACAATCACAGAGTTAAAAAACCCACCCTGAAATCTTTAATTATTCCCCGAATCAATGTTAGGAAGCTCTATGAAAATGATAAAATAAATATTATGTGCAACAAACTGTCTGTGGTGGTGATCTTTAAGTTCTAATTATGGGGTTTGTTTCCAGAGGGTAACAAATCCAAAACAATTGAAAAATGAGTTATAGGTGGTAGCATATTGTTGATTAGAAGCAGAATATGATGAATAGGTCCACACTACCAAAACGTATTAAATCACTTCAGTACAGGGCTTGGAAAATTGCACTGAATAGCAAAATAACGCATATCCTCAGCATGTTTTTTTCAGTTCCTGTAAAATTTGTTTGGATGGATTTGGTACCTTTTGGAAACAAGCTACATAATTCTGATTTGTTATTGCATATTCATTCCTGTATATCTACACAAATGCCACACAAGTATGTGTGAGGTATATTTGGGGCACACACACGATCACATCTTAAAATATTTTCTTTCCCAATCATGTGAGTAATAGCAATGAAGCACCAGGTTTCCTCCTTAAGTTTAGCGGAAAGCCATTGTTTTCAAATAAGTGAGATGCATCCGTCTATGTCATTAAACTGAATGAGTCTTTTAGCCTGACCTAGTTGGATGCTGTGAGGATCAAGCAGGGAGGATTTCATAGAATCATACAGAGTTGGAAGAGACCACATGGATCTTCCAGTCCAACTTCTTGCCATGCAGGAAAAGCACAATCCTGATAGATGGCCATCCAGCTTCTATTTAAAAAGCCTCCAAAGAAGGAGTCTCCACCAGTAGCTTATGATCGTGTATTTTGCAAGCTAGTGGAAAAAAGTATAACACAACTGAATACACCTTCCACACATTCTCATTATCACCGTAGTTGCTCTGAACTGTGCTACAAAAGACAGTGCAGTTCAAGGACCACCTTAAGCGTGTTAACAAGTGGGCAGTCCCTTCACATTTTTAATGTTCATAATTCAGAAATATTCTGACTGATTAATAAGGACATGTCCTTTTACTTAAACACCAATACACTAGTGAAAATATGTAAATTATTTTGCAAGTATAGTCAGTGACTATGCTTGCAAAATAATTTACATATTTTCACTAGTTATTCACTGTAGTTATTCAAAGAAAACTAATTAGATCCAAACTTGGAAATACTGAGAGAAGATCAATTATAATTACTGGTACTTAAGTTCATCCCAACTAACTATTTACAATAGTTAATTCATTTGAATTACTGTTACTAAGACTGGATCTAACTGATGGTGTGAGAAGACAAAATAACATGGTAATTCTTTGAAAACAACAGAAAAACACACCATGATAAGTGACATCTCAGGAAAAACATCAACCTGCCCTCCATTTGCATACAAACGAAGGATATGTCTATAACAAGCCAGCACTCCAATATCAGACTTCTGAACAATAACTAACAATGTAAATCTTTGAGAAGGAAGGGTCTCCTCTTGCATGGACAACAACTTACCAATCTTGCTTTCAGGGTAGGGGACACTACTGGGATCTGAATAGAAAGCCTGGAGTTCAAAGGGGCCTTTTCTGTAAAATGTCAAAACTTTGGAGAAAGGTACTGCATGATGCCTGCTGAACACTTCATGAATCCTACAATCAGAAGAAAAGGTAAAAATGAGTTTCAGATAAGCTTGTACTGAAGCAGTTTTACTTTGGGCTGCAAATTAGCCTACTGCAAAAATATGTACAGTATATCCAAAGGGCTTGGGATACAGAACCACTGCAAAAATGGAAAAATCACAAATAAAAATAACTTTAAAAAAAAGGGGGGGGGGATAACATTCTAGGAATCTGTAGCTCCTCCAGCAAAACTCTATGACCAACTTCCACCAAAAGTTACACTGGAAGACCTAGTGATTCTGGAGAGATCCTATTAAATCTGCCAATAATCAAATCCACCAAAGTTGAACTTGCAAATATAGGTGGCTGACTGCATTACACATAGGATGCATACATTCAAACTGGATGATTAACAAGTTTATTGCCTCCAAAAGGGTGACTATTAACATAACGATCACAACTAGATCTAAATCAGCTTTAAAAGCTACACAAATTGCATTCTAAACAATACGTGTACGGCTACTGTTTTTCAAACAAACACTTTTGACTCCTACTCCTTGGCCCCATTAGATCTAGTAATACAGAATGTGTAAAATTATGGCAATGGGTTGTGAACTTGTCATCTCTGCTAAGTGACAACCAATGAATTGGTAAAAGCAAGCCATTTGCCAGCAAATATGGAAAACACAAGAATGGCCATCAGACTGGAAAAAAATCAACTTATATCCCCATACCAAAAAGGGGAAATGCGAAAGACTGCTCCAACTTCCGTACAGTGGCCCTTATTTCTCATGCCAGTAAGGTAATGCTCAAGATCCTGCAAGGAAGACTCCAGCAATACATGGAGCGAGAGTTGCCAGATGTTCAAGCTGGGTTTAGAAAAGGCAGAGGAACGAGAGACCAAATTGCCAATATCCGCTGGATAATGGAGAAAAGCAGGGAGTTTCAGAAAAACATCTACTTCTGCTTCATTGACTATTCTAAAGCCTTTGACTGTGTGGATCATAATAAATTGTGGCAAGTTCTTAGTGGGATGGGCATCCCAAGCCACCTTGTCTCTCTCCTGAGGAATCTGTACAAGGACCAAGTAGCAACAGTCAGAACTGACCATGGAACAACAGACTGGTTCAAGATTGGGAAAGGCGTACGGTAAGGCTGCATCCTCTCACCCAACCTTTTTAACTTGTATGCAGAACACATCATGCGATGTGCGGGGCTTGATGAATGCAAGGCTGGGGTGAAAATTGCTGGAAGAAACATTAACAACCTCAGATATGCAGATGACCCCACCCTGATGGCCGAAAGCGAGGAGGAGCTGAGGAGCCTTCTAATCAAGGTGAAAGAAGAAAGCGCAAAAGCCGGGTTGCAGCTAAACGTCAAAAAAACCAAGATTATGGCAACAAGAATGATTGACAACTGGAAAATAGAAGGAGAAAATGTGGAGGCCGTGACAGACTTTGTATTTCTAGGGCAAAGATTACTGCAGATGCAGACTGTAGCCAGGAAATCAGAAGATGCTTACTTCTTGGGAGGAGAGCAATGTCCAGTCTCGATAAAATAGTAAAGAGTAGAGACATCAGACTGGCAACAAAGATCCGCCTAGTCAAAGCCATGGTATTCCCTGTAGTAACCTACGGATGTGAGAGCTGGACCTTAGGGAAGGCTGAGCGAA